GGTATAAGTAGTTTTTTTGTTTACCATTATCTATTAAGCTAAGAATATACTAGTGAAGTGTTAAAAGTTACAATACACAAAATAAGTAATCCTCCGCGAAAAACGATAGTCGCATATAATAACAGATTCAAATAGTTCTCAGCGTTTGTTTGCTATGTACACGAGCATTTTTCATGATTTTAGTTGCACTGTCTTTCCTAGAAAGCTCATGACAGTCTGTGTTTGACATTTAAATAGCATTTTCATCATGAAATAGTGGCATTTTAAGAAATCTTCTTGACTTCTTAGGTGTTTCACCACTGGTACAATTTTGGGTTAGCTAATTTTACAGTTTGTTTAACTGAAAAGAATGTTTTTGCAAGAGACATGACCAGAACTTTTCTTTTGATTTTTATGCATCACTGACAGTTTTTCTAGTAGTTCTTATCTTTTTCAGACCAGGGCAAGTACATACTTGATGCCTCGCTTCGGTCTCTCCTTGAACGACCCCATGTCCAATCACTGAAAAGAATAGTACTGCAGTTGGAAGGCCTTGTCCAAAGAGGTGTTGTGCCTAAATATGAATTAAATTGATTTACTAATAAGGACATTATGGCCAATCTTAAATGTTTTTGGACAATTTGACCTTCAAGATAAAGGCCATTCAGGGGTCAATGAAAAAAATACAGGCCCGTAGGAAGGTCTTGTGCTAAGGGATGTTGTGTTCAAATATGAATCAAATCCATTTACTAATGAGGAAGTTATGGCCAATGTTTAAGTTTTCGGACGGATTGACGGACTGACGGACGGACAGTTCAAAACTACTATGCCTCCCTTCGGGATATGCACAACGTCTTGCAAAGAAATGCTGCTGTGCAAAAACGTTTTAATTGCTTTGGTAGATTGAAAATTATATGTTCACCATCTTTTGTTTGTTTTGGGTTTTACGTCACATCGACACAGTATAGGTCATATGGCGACGTTCCAGCTTTACTGGTGGAGGAAGACCTCGGGTGCCCTTCCGTGCATTGTTTCAGGCACGAACGGGTACCTTAGTAGAACCACCGACGTTCCGTAAGCTAGCTGGATAGCTTCCTCACATGAAAGAATCCAAAGTACCTGTCGGGAGGTGAGGGGCAAGTGGTTTGAAGTCAACGACCTTAACCACTCAGCCACGGACGCCCCCTTTTTCACAATCTGAATAACATATTTAAACCAGACACGCACTGCGCTTGTCTTGCTCACAACGAGGTTATGGTGCTCACAACGAGGATTAAAGCAAATAAGGGTATATCTTCGTTTCTATGAAGACTTTCATGTAATAATTTACGCTGAAGACTTGTGGGCATCTGTTTTAGGTTAGAATGCACAAAACTTCACCAAAATCGACGTTTTCAATGTTAAATTTGGTCCGGAGAGAAGTTGTCTCCAGTTTTCCAGCTACCCCGAGTGACTGCGTCGCACGGTATTTCCATCAAATTGTCGACCAATAGGCAATATCTTTACATGTGCATACTCAGAAAACACATCGCTAGCTAACTGCATTCCGATATTTTTACTTAAATGTCTGTAATCTTCAAAAAATATGAAAAACTCACCTTGTTTATCGTGTCAAACGTCCTAGACGGGTGCTCACAACGAGGAACGGAAGTTGCTCACAACATTTTAACCGATGGACATTTTTCACTCGTTGTGAGTTAAACGGGCGTGCTTAATGTAATCATTGCTTTAGAATACTTATTTCATTTTGATATGATTTTCAAACATTATCTAGAACAATAGAGAAGTCGAGCTTATAAAAATAAGGAATGAGGCGAGTTGTTTATAAGGTCTTACATAACTTAATACTTATTTTCTTTAAAAATTAATTTATATTTGTTGTCGTTTCATACATATAGACGTAACATTAAACTATTTAAAGCTATAATTTAAAGATCATTTCTGTCATTAGTTATCATGATGTGTAAGTTAATATATAAATTAAATAGAGGATATTTGTTTGTTTTGCATGTAAGATTCAAATATAATTTCACTGAGTGAAAATATAAAAAGCTGGTGTTCACGAATGAAATATATTTCAATCTTATATGCAAAACAAATAAATTTTCTTTTTATTTCATGCTTTTTAAGTGATTTTAAGTATTTATTACTGATTTCGCCGCGTAACGTCGCGCATTCTCCTTTGTGACGTCATCACATCATGACGTCACATCATCAATTTTGAAACATAGGTCTGTTAAATTTCTCTAATTATGTTACATTTTTAACATGATGTATGATGACATAAACTTTCTTTTCTTAAAGAAGCAAAATTTACGCATGATGTACGGCATTTATTTCTGCCTGCTATTCCATTTAGTTATGATTTTCTTTTCATCCGCATTCAGATATCTATAGTCCGGCTACAGTGAAAATTATATTCTATAAATTTCACTAGTGGTTTATCAGAATATAGTCATCTGATATATTACAATAAAACACAGGAAAGCATGAAATAAAGCGTAATAATCTTAAGATCATGTTAGAAGAATAATATTATATATCTTGTCTTGTTTTTTTTGTTCATCGTCATTGAACTTGTATCATTTCGTTCATTTTTTGTGAGAATTAGGAATAAAAAAAATAATAAAATAAAATATAAAATAATACCTTGCTGTTGTTTCCCAATTTGTCTTAACTTAGAACGTTTGAAGATAATGATTCCCTCCACTATAAACTGACTCGAGCTTGTGACCGTTTGTTCTTGTATGTTTTAAACATATGTATATTGCCGTGCTTGTTTATTCTTTTGTTAGTATTACCGATCGTTGAATAAAACTAACAGTAGCTGGACATCAACATATCAAGTACATAATAATATCTATTACGTATATAGGTTTATTTGGAATATATTCGTAGATCTTCGACAACGGAAAATCTGATATATATGTATTTATTCATCATATGAACAGATACGTTGTTGACATATGTTTATATAAATTTTAATTGTATCATAAAAGTTCATTTTAAGTGTTTGAAAAAAAATATTTTATTTAAAAATATCCATATCTGTCTCAATAAAACATTTTTACTCAAAACGTTAATTTAGGGACATTTTTGAAATTTCTAAACAATTAAAGAATATTTTATTTTATTAATTGATATTCATTTTTTTCAAGTGCCAGAGTCACCAACAGAAATGAAACGTAGAACTAAAAACTATCCTAAATAAAAAAAATTGAAGTTGAAAATATTTACAAAAAATTAATAAAATTAATAAATATCAAATTAATTATTGTCTGTTACATCAGTCGAAAATTGAAATCATTATAGCAATATGTATTATTAGATAACAAATTCAGTAATAATAACTTTTATATTTCGTCAAAATCTACCATTATGCTGTAAGATCAGAAAACAATACAAAATATTTAATTCTAACTGTAATACCCAGAAACGATTACGATGACGTCCAATGCTCGTAACGGGCGGACTCGTAGAAGAAAAAAAGTGTCATTATTTCAAGATAAGGAGAAAAAACAACAATATATCATTTCTATTACGATAAGAGGCTTTCTGGAAATTGGCCATGGTCCTACAAATTATCTATAATGTTTTTTTCCAGTACCAGTCATACATGTATTGCTACGTCATAGAAACAAGCATTTATGTTATGAAAAAGGTATAGAATGCTGAAAATTGATTTATATCGTAATGTTAAATAGTTGTTGTTGCCCGATTGACATTGATTTATTCCTCTATGCTTGTTTTGTATTGTCTAATTTTTAATTAGTATGTATTTAAAGTTTATAAAACTGTAGGTTTGAATTTTGAAAACATATAAATTCTCAAATGAATGAATGAAATTGGTATATTTCCGTACGAGCGAACGGCACATACACAAACAATTGCTAAGCAGTTAAAATTAGAAATACTAAAAATAGCAGTATAATATTGTGTTCCGAGGAATATTTTATTTTACCTTCAGTATTCGTGTGTATTAAATAAGGAAACAATTCACTTTATAATCGGCCAAAAGATTATGGAAATTTACAGTTTAATAGTTTGTAAAATATTAATTTCATAAAGCTTTGTACCCTTTAAATAATGCAATGACTTATTTTAAACATTTGACCTCCCAGGCAATTTAAGCGAACAAACACTTTTATTAATTATTTTAAGCTACTTATGTATGTAATTGTGGGTTCATCTTTTGCAATGACGTATACACCTACAAACAACAAATAGAAACAAGAATAATGAATCACAATGTCTGATTATTTGAATGACTCCGACTATTGTGTTCTTTGTGTCATCATCAAAGGAATCAGTTGTTGCGACAATTACTATGACAACCACAGAAATATATATTCTTTTTTGGTTAATTTGTAAATTGGTTGGCAGGAATGATGTTTTGCGTTGTTTTCTTTACAATGGAATATTTTTGATGAATGCATATGTCATATTTGTTGATTTAATGATGGGGTATTCATTGTGGGGTATTTATTGGTTTCAATGTTCGGTAAACTAGCACATGCTGCTGAGACAAACCAATACCAAACAAGAATTTCAGATTAAGCATTCTAATGACTTCAGCTTTTTTGGTAGGGTTTCATCTTACAGTATCTTATTTTCAAAAAAAAAGCAATATGAATAAAATGTCATTTACTATGTACTTAAATCATGTTTACAAGGGAAGGCTAGGGTCAATTCTAAAATTGATTCTTTCCAGAAATGACTTTTCCAAATATTGAAGTTATATTTGAACATTCTAGTCAAATGTTTTGTAATTAATCACTCAAGCCTATCGGCCTTCCTAATTATATTCCTTAGCATTTGAATTCAAATCGTGCATTGTTCTACGACAATGCAGTCAGAATTGATATTTATTTCCTAAATGTATCGATTTGTTTATTCACAATTGCCGCTCGTTTACGGAAACTGATCATGTGAACAGATAAGTTTGTGGAAAATAATCAGGAGTGTTTTTTCCAAAAAAAATCTATTATTCTCTTGCATATCAGATATACCACCATACACACGTACATCTATATTTTAAACGAAAAGGGGTTCTATACACAATATATTCCTTACAGCTTTAGAACATGCAAAAATCACTTTCATGAACACTTTATTACTGTGAATATAAATATCATTAACGTGTTAGTAAACTCGTATACCCAGTAGTCATGGTTACAATTTGACCAGGCTTATACTCATTAAACGGCACAAAGAACCGTGGTAATCTTTACGAAAATACCATCAAGGCAAATAAAAGCTCTCTATAGGTATATAGATATCAACATTCGTCTTTTTTATAATATACATATTACTGAACGAACGTTGTGGTTTTATTATAAATTGATTTATTAGACATTCAACAGCCAAGTCAAATTTTGGGGGAACAAACTTTATTTCACTTTAAATGAAACCATCCTTTGCAACATATAGCAAGTTGATTTTAAGAAAATGGTACTTTAATAGTAGCTCTTGAAGGCCTTGACTGATGTTACGACGCATTTTTATTATAAAGAGTAACTTATGACCTTTCAACATCCGCATCACGGGGTGTTCCAACATAAACAATTATAGGATCCAATCTTATTAATCGAACCTCGTTCCAGATTCAAAATGTTGTTTATCAAATGCATAGTTTTTTATTCATTTAGCATAGTTTTTATTTTCCGAGTCCAAAGAATCTATTCTACACAATCTAGCCTCGTTTTTATTTTTCCAAGTCAAAAAAGTTCCATATAAGGTCTACAATGTCATCGTAGTAACTGTATTAGAAAGTACAAAAGCACCGTTGTTTGTGTGTTTTCTATAAATTATGTGTTTTCGCCTAAAATGGAGAAAACATAATTGAGTACGATACTGATTGTCGATTGCCATGTAGAACGTCAACACAAAATGAGTCGAATGCAAGCTCGGCATAATATAGGAAATCGTTATTAGTTGAATAATGCAATGATTGAGACAGACCAACATTTATACCAGACTATCCGTTCAATTCACGTGCAGTCACATCTGTAAGTTACACACTAAGGTGCCCTTTCTTTAGGTTTTCTTGTACTTGAATGTTTTGATTCGAAGGAAAATGTCATTTCATTATCATCCTCGATGATAGTGAACATCGAAGATGAACGAATATGTTCCATTATACGCCTAAAGCCCTGACACGGTTTCACAGTACAAACTACTATTTCAACAGTTACTTTTTGCGTGAATTCCTCTATCGATTCAATTAAAACACGAAGTGCATCATCCGTCATTGAAACATCAAACAGTTTTATTTCTTTCAGATGTTTCATTTTGGAAGGCAGGCGAATTATGTTTTTATCTAAAACAATTGACGACAGATCCAGACAAACCAGTTTTGTCAATTTCGGGAGCGCAATGACCATGTCTTTGATATCGAGTTCTCTGAAGACATCGATACACACCAGTCTCTTGAGGTTTGAAGCCTTTTTTATACATCTAAAAAACGTTGAAAAAGACTCATTGGGTAAATTTCCAATTTTGCAAACCTCTAGTTTTTCTGCGTTCGTTTGACCATTTGTAATTTGCCATGGGATATCATAGACTTCTAGTATTTGCAATTCCGTATGATTTGAAAAATCCAATTCTAGTTGAGGACATATTTTATGGCTTTTACATTTGACAGACCTCAGAACGATTTGTGTCATCTCAGTTTTGCTGTTAAACAATTGCAGAATTTTAAGTCCTTGTTCGTGGGTCATGCTAACGGTTTCGAGTCCCAAAGCTTTAATCGATTTGAACTGAAAAAAATCAATCAAACGCTTAAACGAGTCGCAACTTTCTGCAAGGACAATACGTTTAAAATGAACGTATTTTACAGCTGAAAACGTTCTTATATCTGATATTTTTCGCAAGACAAATTGTCCATCAATTTTTAGTTTCTGTAAACTGGACAAATCCAATCCCTCCAACAGTGAATACTTATCATATTCGCGTTCCTGGGTATCAAATTCCTCAATACTTAGAGTTTGGACAGTACTTTTTGATAAAATCTTTTTCAAATTCGTCCTGTACAAAACATTTTCACAGGAACTATCCATAACAGCATCTTCTAATGCCGCGCACATTTTACCCCTTCCACTATTTCTACTTTCTTTAATACAGTCGACAACCATATTTTGGATATACATGAGTTCTCCTGCTCTTTCAGAGTTTACTGTGTATCTATAATTCAAAAGTACTTCATCTGTATGTATTACTTGAATAATACCGTTTATGATTTCTGCTGCCGAACTTTTATTTAAGCCACTTAAGAAAACGAACAAATCTTTATATTCTAGGAATGAAGAAACTGACTGACATTTTGACTTCATTTGTTTCATCGTGAACGTATTGTAGCTCATGTACAATGCAGCGAGAAACTCGTGCACAGATTTATGGAAAAACATTAAGTTATATTTGCGTCCTATATATACTGATTTGCATCGTTTGTCAAGAATTCCTGTATTAAGACCCGCTTCAATGACATCAAGAGGTGGAAATGATTCATCCGAAGACAGTATTTGGACAGCTTTATCCTGATCAAAATCAAAACAAGGTTCCGATTGTTCTCCAAATAGTGTGTAGTAAGCCAAATGACCTAACATCATGAATAAGCGATAATATGGTCCACAGTTTTCTAAACATTCTTCTTTTGCAGGTTCGTCTGTCTTAAACATTAGCAGCTGCTGAGAAAATGCTTCTTTGAAAGACGCCCTCTTTATCAATTCCATGATAATTTCTGTATATATTTCACATTGAGATCTATCTATTTTCTCTTCAACAATCCACATTGACAATAAAAGTGTCAACAAAACTGGATAGCTGATAAAATGAAACACATTCTTCTCAATCAGCATTTTTTCGAAATCCAATATTCCAGAAGAAATCCTTGACGAAAATGTTCTGATATTATCATTTTGTGATAACACTGAAAGGATGTTCTTTAAAAGCTTCTCGGATTTCTCTTTTCCTAATACTTCAAGTTGTATGCGTTTTTTTATTCCATGTGATTTGACGTTGAGTCTTTCAAATGTCTGTGTAGTACAGGTAGTAAGAGTCGACAATTTAGTTCTCTTATTAAGTTCCGGTAATATGCCCGACTGACTATGAGTACATTCATCAATACCATCTAGAATTATCAAACATTTTTCAGTTTCTAGGATTGTTTCAAGAAATTCCATTTTAAATGTTCTCGATTCAGTAAGGTTGTAGGCAATACTATTATAGATCAACTCATCAACGTGGTACTTATCACATTTAACGTCTCCAACAGGCACATAAAAAAGGAACTCAAATTTGGCCATTTCTTCTATGTCTTCACCAGTGAAAATATCTGTCATACTTTTGCCACCTTCTCTGTCCTTGTCCATACTGTGAGCATCACACCAACAAAGTGTTAACCATTTCATAAAAACAGTTTTACCAACACCTGTCTCTGATATGATATATATACTATTGCATGGGCAACTTTCGTCGTTAAACACGTCATGTAGTTTATTAATCTCATTTTGATCTCGAGCAGGGATGTCATCAGTGATTTCATATATTGGAAATGATGGTACGTACAGCCTGTCAAATTCCACTTCTTCCATGATCGATCCAATTTTGAGTTTTGAATGTATCTGTCTATAACGTTTGATGATATCCTTCTTAAATACTGTAAAAAGGGTATTTTATCAACTCATATTCATAATAGACTAAAATAAAATTAAATGTTTCATCACTAACATCATTAAAGTTATTACAAGTTTGCCAAGGCTATAAATGTATCTGTCCTTTAAGAAAAATCATAATTAAATATGTAATGAAATCAAAGAAACTTGAAAATCATTGCAATATTTGCAATTCAATTGGTTTAACCTGGATGACCTTATATATCATCAGATACTGAACTGGTAGTGTTTTTTGTGTTCGTTAGGTTTTAATTTAATTACATAATTCAATATCTTCTTAATATTTCCTTGTTATGAAATATCAATCAATAACAAATCAGCAAAGTCTACTCGCCATCAGCTGTTTAACAGGCACTATGATTAAAATAATGGCAATGAAGTTTATTGTAAAAGAAACTATTGATTATGTATTTTACAGAAATGAATTTACCTTCTTTTGACATCACATCTTCACTTATCACATCTTCAGTTATATGTTCTGCTTTCACCTTTAAAAGTAATTAAACACAATCAACATCCTTGTTTTGTTATAATCAATTGTGTTTGATACAAAAGATTGAAGCTTGAACCGTATCAACAATTTAACTCATAAAGGTTTTTTGACATTAAAAATATCAAGCTATGCATTTAAATTGCAATACATGATGTAAAAGGAAAAAAATCCGAACGAAATACATGTATATTGTTCATAAAACGGTGTCAAAGCACCAATTTTTATCATCGGTAATTTATGGTGGCATATTTATATGGTTAACTGTTGGCAGAAATATGCCACCAAAGTAATTTACTGCAAAATTGTCTTCAACTTAAAATCTACTCAACACCGTACCAAATAACAGTGTAAATGTGGACGTATAGTCTTAAAAATGAAAAAAAATATTGTGATATTAAAATTACATTACCGTCTCATTAGCTTTCATTCCGTTTTCCTTTACATCTTCAAGTAGCTGAAAAGTCGCAATAAAAATACATTTTGTATTGTAGCCACGATCAATTTAGTTTCCTTATTCATTTACATTGTATCATGAAACTAGCTCATGTACCGCCAAACATTAGAAAGAAACACTAATACCAGCAGTTTCTATTAGCATATGTTTCATTTAAAGTATATAAGCTTGTAACATTGAATGTATATGTATGTTTAATTACCTCATTAAATATAAGGTGTTCATCAAAAACAAGTTCACTTGTCAGACTAAGACTGTCAGGTTCAGTCTCAAGAGAGATAATTACGTTCTTTGTATTGTTTTCCATTTGGAAACGGTCTGAATATTCATTTTCTTCTATATGGCTGTCGGAGCTTGATGCTGTCTCGCTATCTGCAAACGAAAATGGTCTCCTTGTAAGAAATTTGATTTTAAGCAAACATAAAAATAGTTATAGCTGATTTGCATCAACATATTTCAACAAGGTTTCGATCAATTGAAAATCTTTATGTATTGGCAATGTTCTATCAAGATAATAGGTACAAAGCATGTATGTTTAAATGCATATGAATTCTCACCAGTTTCTTCATGTATGCCAGTTAAATCTTTCAAGTCAGGTATAACTTTCAAAGATATTGTCTCGTCCATATAAGAAGATAAACTATCTGCTATTTTGTTGATACTGTTTGTGAAGCTTTCACTTTTAATAATTTTCAACACGGACTGTATCCCTCTTGGAGAATGACATACAACTGGCAAACTTATTCCATCTGTATAAGGTCCATCACTTGCAGACTCATTTCCTTAAAAAATGAAAACATTATAATTTTGCAAATAAATATTTTAATACATATATAACAGCATCATTTGAGGAAGCTATCCAGCTTGTTTACGGAACGTCGGTGGTTTTTCCCAGGTACCCGTTCGTGTCTGAAATAATGCACGGAAGGGCACCTGAGGTCTTCCTCTACCAGAAAAGCTGGGACGTCGCCGATTGACCTATACTGTCTCGGTGTGACGTAAAACCAATCGATCAATCAAACAAAAAACAAATACCGTGTATAACAGCATAAGTTAGTTAATAAGATTACATTTTCCCTCTGATAATACAGTTTTATTGCTGTTCAGTTCTTACTTAAACAATTACTCAGTTAATCAAATCGATCTAGAAATGATTGAAATACACTTTTGAAAAAAATTGAAACAAAAGAACATGGATAAAAATAAACACACAAAAACAAAACAGATGAAACGTAATAATCGTGTTCATTAAGTATTTCATGAGAGATTATGAAAATGTAACATCACGAACGCCCCTTAACACTAGCTTTAATGTTATTCTATCCACAAAAGTATAAGGGATTGCGATGAATTTTTAACAAATTGGCGAGAAATTTATTACATATGTAACACTGTAAAAGGTAACAAAATAACTTACGAGGATGTGTCAATATTTCATTCAAACTTTCAAATGTCAGGTGTCCTTCGATGACAATCACATCACCACAAATATCGCTCAACTCTCTTGATATAGAGTCAACGTGTTCTTTGAATAATTCACCTGTCAGATAACTGATGACGTTCGGAAGATTTTGACAAGAAGAGCATCTAATAGAAAGAATGATGCATTCTCTTTTTACACCAGCTACTTGAACGCCTTGATTTAGATGCAGTTCTTCGAGTATTTTGTCGATTTCTAGTCTGACAACTTCAAACTCAGTTGAGTTATCTGATCTTGCAAGAGCAGCCTGCCATATCCGAAACAGAACGTCTTCGGCAGTTCTTTTTTTCTCACTGTTATCGCCCAAGGTTATCATTTTTAAACTCAGAACTGAAATCAATGTATGCATATGCTTAAAAAGCAAAATGTTAAAATGAAATGAAATCTAGATAATGACAATAATCTTATTTCAAATATTTATTACTTGATGAGAGTTTATAGATAAAAAGAGTTATATGATTAGTAAATACAAATATAGCAGATTAACAATTACATATAGACGTAACCATACCGTGTTCATTGATAAAATCTATCCCCGTCTCCTTCATTTGTTTGAAACATTCGTTAAGTTTCTCTATCGTTTCTGAAAGAAGATAATTTCAATTCAAATATAGCATTTACCTGATTTTCATTTTCACATCTAACAACTAATAATCAGATATAATCTGGTGTAGTTTTTATTTACCATAAGTATTAGTATCACCGTCCAAAAAATAAGTACGAATGTATTCGATTCATGTATAGTGAATTTTTTTTAATCAAGTTCATATTATTATTGCAGTGGATAGCTCATTAAACTTGAAAATTTTATATCATGATAGTTTATTTTAAAGAAAATACCTTGATGTAGTTCAGACAAATTCTTCACGCTGGTTCCATGAGCCTTTAGTTGTTTCAAATAAACCTCATAATCTGTACCCTGACTCTCATCTGATGGTACCTTATATCTGTTTATATGTTCATCACATTGTTTCTGTATATCTTCATCGAGAGTCGAAGACAAGACTTCGATGCTACTAACAAGATCTTCACAGCATGCGTAAAATGATGCCTTATCTGCTATTGCTTTCAATGCGTTTTCAGCATATTTCTTTCTTGCATCTCTTATAATTCTTACTTTCTTCATAAACCTTTCAGTCAGGTGACTGTTACCAAGGGCTAATTCAATCACTTCAGCAAGAACAATGATATCCCATGTCTGAATATCTATGTTTATATGAAAAGAGTCATCTTCAGTACTTTGAAAAAAATGACGGACTAAATCTTCATTGCCAATCTTTTCTGCTAACTCATCTCGTTTGTAATAGAGGACAGTTCGTAAATCTAGTTTAGCTTTTGACAAACCATCTCTCAAAACATTGCACAAAACAAGCGTCCCTCCTTCGAACAATAACTGAACATATTGTGAATATTTTTCTGGAGTTTTCTGAAAGAATCGTGTGAACTCTGGAATATAAAAATCATTCGATTTAGATAAGCAATGTGCTATTTAAAAAAAGCAAAGAATTACCGATGCTTAAAAGGTTTATTATCTTATTCATAGCTAGATTGATTACATGCGAAACATGAAACTCTTTAAAAATGAATAAAGAGTAAAGAGTAAAAATGTTACATAGTCAATTTTAAATTGTTCATGTCTTATGCAAAATTTGGTTGGGTGTATTCATTTTATCGTCATATGTCTGCCCTATTTTTATCGATCAAAAGACAGTTTTGTATGTACATGTATTGATCATGGTTAGGGCTATTGTCGTTTACATTGTGACACATTTTAGCTCATCTATGTGGGTTGAAAGTACCCTATATTAATGTTAATAACTTTATTTGTGGACAAATGACAACTATTTACAACACTTTAGAAATTCTTTGTTAAAAGTTTAGTATTACCATCGCACTTCTGGCACAGCTCTTCCATCTGTAAATAAAAATACAGTCATCTTGATATTTGATAAGTATCTGAACATCAAGGAGTAGTAAGTGAAGTGGTTGCACAATTGGTTCGCAATGGTTGCAAATTTAAGTAGATGGCAACTGAGTCATAAAAAGTTATAATGCCCGCACGTATTTTTCTCCAGGTTAGTGGGTTTATATGTTTTTCTTTTTGGATTTTTGAATATGTTCATGCATTTAGGTTATATTTATGACACAGTGGGTTTTCGGTTAAAGCTACTACGCTTCTGATTTGATGAACTTATTGAAGACATGAACTGGCCGCAAACATAATTTGAGATTTGACAAGTGACTTCTCTAGTCAGGTTTACTACTCATTTATCCATAACTGTAAGTTTTGAAGTTCACAAATCAATGCAATACATGTTTCTGTCAATTCTGTATAAATGTTTAAAATAAAGTTTTAATACACAATAATATTTTGTTCATAACTATATTTTGATGAAATAATTATTCGACATATTTGTGTATTTTTGTAATTAAGTCGATTTAACTGAAATGAATTATTACTTATTGGAAAGTAAAAGAAAACTATCAAGATTAGTGCATTTGGATAATTACTGGTAAAAAAGAAAGACAACTGCTAATTAAAAAACTATTCATCAAAAATGAAAAAAAAAAACGCCAAATTTCGTCCGTTGATAATTTGTATTTACCATCTTCCTCTGCAACACTTTCAATAGACAGCCAAAAATAGCACAAAATAGGTAATAATATGTACAAACATTACATTAGGGATATCTGTTTTGTATCAGTGCGAGATCAATATCTGGTTTATTGTGATTATCAGATGCACTTCCGGTATTATCAATTGTGGCGTAGCCCAAAATTAAAATAAATAAGTGCTGATATACGGGACTAGCAATTTTGTGCTTTTTGATACTTTAACTGCTTTCGCCCAGTAGCATTAGAAGCTCTTAAACATAACTAGATAACATCAAAACCATGTATAAAAACGTGTATAAAAGCAAGAAAAATAGCATAATTGGCTAAAATTGCCAAGAAATATCCTGTGATTAATAAATAGCATCTTAATTGAATTTTTTTGTGCACAGTTTTATATATGATTTAAAAGTAATCATAAGTTTGCAACCAAAATTGCTTGTACCAAAAAACGCCTGAACAAGATATGTTTGTCTTTTGATCGAAACTTTATTTGACACATGCAAATTATAACATTTATACAGCATTGCCAGAAATATGTCTTGTCTTGCTTGATGAACTTAAGAACTTACAGATGTAAATACATTTTTGTAAATGAAATAAATAAAAGAATAAAACGACCAGAAAAGTCAGTTGTCAAATCTCAAAATATGTTCATGACTAGTTTAAATCTTCTATAAGTTCGCCAAATTAGAAGTTAGGTAGAAGACACCTGAAACGGTGTGCGCCATATACATTGCCTTAATGCATAGGCATATTCAAAAATCAAATAATTATTCGATATAGAAAAATTATGTGTAAGGACATTTTCTTGTTAAGTGAAAAAAGTAAACGCTTAAAATTGCAGTTTCGTTTTGATTGAACTTTATTACAGCAGTGAGAACTAAATTGTATCATATATCAGGCACTAGTTCAAACTAAATCAGTATTTATATCACACGTTTTGAGTCTAAATTTATTTTCTTTCAGTAATAAATAATTAATGAAAAAGAATTTAATTATACAATACAAATAGAAAAAATACATAGATAAATGAAACATCAAAAATTGAAAATACTTTTTTTTTTCTTTTATATATTTAAAAATTTACAATATTACAACCTGAAATGAGCAAAACAATTAAATGAAAAGTGACAAAAAAGATTGCTCTCCTTCATTCATGCTGATGACATGTCTTAAATCCATGCAAAGATTTTTTTATTTCATTCAATAAAAATCTGAACCAGTTCTTTGTCTAATTTAGAACTGTAGCAATTTTGAAAAGGCAAACAAAAAACAGTTGTAATAAGTATTGAGATTTACATTGTTTTCATCAGATGTTATTTGATTTTTATTCAATTTTACATGCTTACAGTGCTAAGTGTTAATATCAATTAAGTCTTAATGTATTTGTTTCTTACTTGCGGTAAAAGCTTACCTTTTTCTGTAATCGGGAAATTTCATTACAGTTTTCACATAATTCTTCAAGCTTCTGTTTATATATAGTATCATTTTGAACATCTAAACTTCTTTTACGGTATTCATCAATGGTCTGTGCAAGCTCTTCTGTTGTCTCTTTTTCAACAAAATCATTAAGTCGCGTTAGAATTTTCTCCAGTTCCGCCCAGAGTCTTTCGAACTTCACATTGTATAAGGTAGCTCTTGGTTTATGTGCAATTATGTTATTTCTTATGTCGCGGAGACGAAGAATGTCGGCCGATGCAGAGATATCAGAATTTTTCGGAGGAGAACTTTTCCAGCCTTCTTTTGGTGGGGGTAGTACATCACTGTTGGTGATTAATGTGATAAGAAGGGATATATCGAATTTCTTCTCATCTGGCCTAAGTGCACTTAAAAGATTATATTGCTTTTTGTTGATGACTTTATCTGTTAGTAATTTCTCTTTCTTTATTGAACAGAGGAATTTCCCAATATTTTTGTCTGGTATTAAAAAGCAAAACACTTTCAAAACTGTCTCGGTTGCAACGTCAATGAAAAGGGAGACAAATCGTAGATAATTAGCAGTTTCATCCGGATTATCCGACATACTATCAGCTGACCTACAAACCGAAACAGGATATTTTCTTTTAATGTTAATGTAAGTAAAGCAGATAAAGGAAAAGAGGAATGAAACATGTACCAGATCACAACTAAGATAACCAATAGCTTATGAAATAGTTCTTCTTGATGACATTTTAAACAATAAACATCTATTCATTTCTTTGTTTTAAATACTAAGTAAATGTTAACCTTTGCAAAAAAGACATATTTATGCAATTTCTTTTAGTGTCCTAGTTTACATTTCTATATACATTTTGAGTGGACGGTGCATAATGTATATATTGTACTAATACCAATATGTTGACCATTATCAAAGTCCGTTTCTCGGAGTGGCTAACAATTAGCCATTATTTCTATATTTAATGAGAGTAATAAGTCACATTCCAGTATGTTAAAGCGTAAAAAGTAAAAAATGGTTAAAACTTACTTCTTTACTTCTGATGACTCAGTTATACACGTTACTTCATGTTAAACAAGTTTAACTTAGTAAATAAATTGCTCTGTTTATTAACCGCCCCTGTTCACTGCACTTTGCACGCAAATGGCGATATTTGTGCAAGTCATCTATTACGTAAAATAACACTGTAGTCTTTATAAACTAGGTCATCATACTTTCATATCATATGTTTTATGCAATCGCAATTTCTCGGCCCTTTCCGTTTAACTTCGGATGAGCAGAGCTAAGAAGTAAATAGTAATTTAATGCTCGGAGTTGTTGATTAAGTTTAATCCAATACACGAGTAAAAGTCCATCTAAATTAAGTAAATTCATAGACAATACATTATATATACACTGATTATGTTGTTTTAATTCTATTTATTTTTTTTACTTTATTTAATTATTCATTTTTTATATATATCTTTTTTTTGTCACAATTTTGCTGGTAGGTTTTCTTACTATTTTGATGCGCTTTATGATTAATGTTGAAAAGCATTTTTGGAGTACTTTCGGAAGAGAGTCTTTTATCTGCCGACCAAATAATATTTAACTCCGAACGTCTTATGGAGTCGAACGAATGATCACCATAAACATTCCCACATTAAGAAAATAAGCATTTCACCGTCTGAACAACACCTTCTGCCTCTGAATTCCTTAACGTCTAAAGCAGACCACTGGTCAGTGGTTACATGCATGTGTTTGATTCCGGATTTCATACAAAACTATTTGAAAGTATCATATAAGTGAACTGCGTCCGCAGTAAGGAACTTTAAAGAGGCTTGGTCAATATGTTATATGATCTTGTCAATAAATTTAACAAAAGAGCAATTGTTTTACAATTAATTACTTCAACCCATCGTCATTATTTCCTTGTACATACATATAAAGTTTCAGACGACAAACGTTTAATGCAATTTTTAAATGCTTCGACATGGTCCTCTTTAGATGTACTTTTCAATAACTAATAACCGGCCCAAGTTCATATCAACGATGACCTGCAAGATGTTTTTTAAGTCTAGGAAAGAGGAAAAGTCACTGGGTGCCAAGCCTGGAGAATACTTTAATTGGATGTATAAGGAATGTCACTCGATTTTCTCGAAAAAAAAAAGTCAATTCCAGTAGTACCTTTGTGTGCAGGAGTGTTGCGTTGCAGATAATACAAGCTGTAACAAGTAAAATGTTTTCCTGCGGTGAACATTTTAATGATATAAAGATATTTTCAACATTATTGGGGGGGGGGATAAATAAACGTTTGTATCAGGAATATAGTTGACAACTGAAGAAACGATCAATATAGAAGAAGCTAGGTCTTTGGAAACTGGTGACCGTTGAAGACCGGACAAGGTCGAACATAAAACAATTATTTCTTTTTAAGAAAATGATTAAATAGGCCTACCATTTTATGAATAATTCCGAGCAAAAAATAAATAAAGTAAACACACAATTTTACGCAGAAAATATCTCTATTTGTTATGGCAGATGCCACTACGAATATTTTAATTTTGTAGATTTTCAGTATAAACAATTTATTGTTTGTAAAATTTAAGATAGTTATTAAAGAAACATTGATAAATTTTCAAACACATCATTCAAGTTTTTTCATCTTAAACGGTAACATAATTATAGAAAATTAGAAATATCACGTAATAGTTTTTTGTTCTTAATTAGGTGTAATTCGGACTAATTCCCTACAGGTAAATCCGTAACGTACCGGCAAACGGTATTTAGCTAGGTTTTCGAAAAGGTCCATTAACCAATCATGTACGGTTTACAGATCACATGCTCCTCCATGTACCGAAAACGGTCACGTGCTCCTCCATGCCTCAAAAGTTAAACGCGTACCAATACCCTGCGGTCTCCAGACCGCAGCGGTCTCCAGACCGCAGGGAATAAAAGTAGAAGGATGTTTTTTATAGAAGTATTTTTCAGTTTATCTTAACACGACACCTCTATTATACTTGGATGTGACAGAACGACCTTTAGAAATAACTTTGGTCAACACTTACACGGGTATTTTAAAAATTAATGTACATAACTTTCTTGACTCTTGTCAATCGCTTGGCAATGCATGGTCGACGAACATTTTTGGTGGTCCAACTTTAATTGTTACACTTGAGAACTGGCGTAAAATGGCGAACCAAGCTTTCATAACCAATAACAACATAAAAATAACGGCGACTGTCATATTTAGGAAATATGTTCAGTAATTGTTAAGCGTATTCTCTCCTTCTTCTGTTTGGATGTTAGCAAATGTGTTTGGATGTTAGCAAATGGGGCATCCATCTGGCAGTTATCCGCCTAACTTTCAACTAATTCTTCACAATCGTTTGACTTGACCCTTTTGGTATAACTGCGATATGGGCTTTCTGGGTATTTTAAAGCCTGGCATCTTTGGTCAATGTTAAACTAGACTTTATGAATGTTTTTGACAGTGACTATGGAGTGTTTTCTACCAGACTTACATACATCTTTAAGTGATTCGTGCCCATTTTTGAATTTATGCAACCACCTAGAAACAGTCGTATAAGATACTTCATTATAGCAATAAATAGTACAATTATCATTATAAACATTTATAGCAGATTTTCCTAGTTTTGGTAAGCCCGTATCTCAGCACTTTTAACTGAGTGCTTACATGAATTTACTCGTGTAAAATATATTTAAATGTGATTAAAATTCCTAATCGTTCGACTACACATAATTTTGGTATCATTTGAAAAGCAGATGATTTGAAGTATAGCAAACACAAGAGTCAAGCGCTAAATTAGAAAATGAACTTCGTATGGCATACCGTATCAATGGACTTATCCTCGTAGTAAATGCTTTGTCACGATAATTTCTACTTGCAATGCTCAATCACTTTTCTTTTGAAAAATTGAATTCTTGGGAGACTTTTCAAGTGTATTCATGAAAATTTCATTTCAACAAATGTGCGTATAAATAAATGATATAAACTTCCAACAATAATTTGTATTTTGGTTTCTCATATAAACCACGGTGTAGTAATTCTTTGTTTAAATGTATACATACATGTTCCCAGATAATAGTCAGGTCAGCAAATTGTGCTGCTTAAGTGTCTGAACATCTTAGACTTCAGAACTGACATGATATTTTTAAGCCAGAAAACGTGGTACACGATGCCATTTGACGGACTAGTGTATTCAACGTGTCAAATGTCATGCGGCATGTGATAAAATTGAATTATTTGAACATCTGCAGGTGCACTCACCTGTGTCTTGCTTACAAGTGACTGTCATTTTGGTTTTTCCAGTGACGCAATTTTCTCGAGTAGACCTTAACCTTAGCCAGACATGACAATTAGAATGGGGTTCTGATATATACTTTAGCGGATATTCATCAGATAGTTCAGGCGTTGGATTTGTAATTACTAAACATGTAGACATAAAGATTCCTATGAAATTGATGTGGGAAGGTACTTGCTCTAACATTTATTTGTTTAGATACTGAAATTACGCTTGTAAATATCTATTAGCCGAATAAAAACGAAATTTCGATTTTTTTTAAAAATTCAAAGTTATTTGGAAAGTAAGCAAAATAAAACTTTTATTTTGAGAGGAGATTGAAATTTACCTTTTGATCCGAACGTCGATAAAAAGGGGGACATAAATACACATAACTTGTGCCGTAAAAACCTAAAATCATTAGTTGAAACATTTGAATTATGTGACATATGGAGAATAATGCATCCGACAGATGAAACTTATACATGGCATTCAAATTTAAAACCCGTAATCTTTTGTAGACTTGAATGTTTCTTTATATCAAACAATATTGTCAATAGTATTTCAAAATTGGACATAAAAGTACGTTTCAAATCTGCTCATTGCATAGTCAGCATTTCTTTAGAAACGGGAAAACAAAACAGAAGAAAAGGTTTCTTTAAATTTAATAACACTTTTTTATTGAATGATACTTTTAAAAAAGTGAAACAATCAATAAATGATTTGAAAATTAACAATTCAAATATAGATCCGCATATACTTTGGGAATTGATTAAAGGTTCGATTAGAAATGAAAATATAAAATGTTCTAACTGGCATCGAAAATTAGAAAAATGAACAAATCAAACAACTTGAACGTGAGATAAACGAATTAATGAAATCTTTTACTGAAAGTAAAGATGAAGTAATACAGCAAAATCTTAAAACTAAACCAGGTGAGCTTGAACAAATATATAAAATGTAAATTAATGGGTACCTTACCAGACTGAACTCACAATATATTAACAAGAAGACAAGACTATTAAACTGTTTAAACAAATATTATAAAAACAAAGCGAAAAGTAATTCGATTGAATCACTGAATATACATGGTAAAAAATAACAGAACAAACAGACATACTAAACATGAACAATTCAAATATTCTAGGGAATGTTATTCAAAAAAAGAAATATAGTTATTGACTTTTTGTGCGAAAACATACCAAAATTAAGGAAAGAAGAAAAGAAATTATGTGAATGTCCTTTAACACTCAACGATATAAAAGATGCAATAACAGATATGAAAAATGGCAAAAGTCCTGGAATAAATGTCATACTCTATGAATTATTTTAGAATACAATAAAAGATGATTTGTTTGCGTCAATAAATAAAAGTTCAGATTTAAGACATTTTTCTGAATTACAAAGACACAAAGTTTTATAACACTTTTACCTAAACCACTTACATTTCACAGAGCAAGGTCTAAAATTCGCCGTAAGTAACAGAAATATGGATGGATGGTTTGATTTTTTTCTCCTACTATAATTGTTTGTTTTTATTATTAGAACAAGCGATCATTCATATTATTTGAATAAAATTAATAATATCATCGCCATTTAACGTTGATTGTCGAACTTTTATTTTCAGCTCAAGACTTCTTGTATTTTATGAGAAATTCGACTAATACATGTACATAATAGAGGCTACCAGTAAGGAAAACAGATTTTAATATTAAAGTTAATGTCAAGGAAATTTCGTTTTAACTTGTTTTTAAGCATAAAATAAAAAGAAGATTTGTTTGTATGTTGTGTAAGGTGAAATTTTATTTCATCTCGTGAGAATACTGTTTTTAAATAAACAGTATTAAAATAAAATTTCATCTTACACACAAACAAACAAATATCCTCTATATTACGGGAAATGTTAAAAAGCATATTATTTGGAAGAGCTGTTGGATAACCAAAAATACTTTGTATATGTCAGATATATACAACACATATGAAAATAAATTCAAAAGATTCGCTGAAATACAGAATCAGTTTAATGCAAATAGAAATGAATATTTGCATTACTATAAAATTATTGAATTAATCCCTAAAAAGCTTGTCACGAATGTAATGATATTGAGTTCTTTTATATTCATATGACTTTTAACCTTAAAACTCATTTCTGTAAATTTCCACTGACCACGTTGTGCCTGTAGAATGTTATATCCTGGGAGATTTCCCGCCAACAAATCAGTCCAGATAATAAAACTGACTAGAACACACTTGTGTCTTTTCTCTTATTTTATTCACATTTGTGAATCGCATGGATCACTTTTAATAGTATATAAAATATTCAAAGTTAGAACATTACAACGAATGCTTTAAAAAACAATATTAAATATATTTTACAAAGGTGTCTAATACAAACTTGAATACGTAACCAAACTTCTCACAAGGATTAAAATTTAAAAATTAAGGTGAAAAAAGTAAATCTGAATTAAATGGGATAAAAAATTTAGCAAAAAAATGGAAAGCAATAAATATCTCAACTTTTTAAGGACACTGAACAAAATTTCAGTACAAGTTTATCCATAGATATGTGGCAACAAACTATTTTACATGAATGTAATATCTCCGAATTACCTTTATGATCAATTTCCTCCTCAAGTTCCTCTGCCGATCATTAATTCTGGGAATGCCCATATGTACAACAATATTGGAACGAAGTGTTTAAATTTATCAACAGTAAGAACTTTGAAATAAATGTGAACAAAAAATTATTTTTATATGTATCCATGACAATAAATTAGTCAACTATATATTTATTTGCAATATACCACATATACAAATGTAAATTCAAATCAATGATGCCAAAAATTGAGCAATTTAAAACCTAACTAAAATCACGTATTGAACTTGAACAAATAAAAGCGATCATGTAGAAATATTCAATAAAACCTGAATTTTTGTTAAATAATAGCTGCTTTATATGTATATGCACAAGTGATTTTGTAAGGTCAGTATGGGATGGTTCCCCGACCCATACTGATCATTTGCACGTGGAGAATAAATGCGGCCACCCCCAAAAAACACAAAAAGAACTAAACCTGCATTAATGTATGCATCTTACAAAAGTAACGCCGTGAAAGATGAATTGTAATGCTTGGTCTTATCACACGCACGCGCAATCACGCACAATAAATCTGAAATCACTTTATACTTTTTCAAGGTACAGTGCAATTTGATTATACTCTAAGAGGAAATGGCTGTGGACTACTCCCTCCTTAATATAAATGTCCACTCTAGTACCCCAACCTTCAGCATCTTTGTCGAGAGGCTCCATATGTACTCATATCTATAGAGGATACTGATTGATAGGGTCAATTTTGCCTCGCATAATTTTATTTTATTCAACGAGTTCATGAAGCTACGCGATTACAGAATATTCTATTTATCACATATCCAAAATATTTAGGGCGTCTTATGCTATGTTAATATAACGCAAGTGTCGTCATGTTAAATAAAATGCACGGTCGTGCAATATCGTTTTTACGAAGTCGCAAAAACGGCACAGGTATGGGAATAAAAAAAGGACATTAAATGATTTTAGATGTTCTACTAAATTTGGTTTTTACAATATCTATTTATTTATTTATTTATTTATTGCTCCTTCCATATTTACAAATAAAATTACAATACATTTATTGCATCCAGAATTGAGTAGTAAGCTTAAAGCTTATATGAAACTCTCCCCTTATACTAGATTTATTAAACAAGTTGAATAAATCATATTTTGCGAGTCTCAGGCGATATTGTTTTATTTAACGCGTTTCATCGATTAAGTATTGAATCTACACGAATATATTATTCTATTTATCACATACCCAAAATAAGAACTGTTTACAGTAGAAACATTTTATTTTTTCAGTGAAGTGCCTTTAATGTAATGTTATCACGAGCGCGCTTGTACATAACACGCCAAAACATATGCAGATTTGTGCAATACAATATTACGGAGTCGCAAAATCTGCACGGGTTAGTGATAAAATGGGCTAAGGACAATCCTGCGCTCTGGTTTATGTGATAAATCATCAAAATACATCCTTAAACAACAAGTATTGTAAAAGTTTTAATCTATTGTCTATTGGAAAATTTACATCATTTTTTATTAACAGTTCCCGGACAACGCACTAGCTAGTTATAATTGCTAAAGATTGTAATCGTATACAATTATGTGAAAATTATGTAAAGACGCAGAAGGAAAACATTTAGTTACTATCAACCTATAAAATTAACTGCATTTAATATAGTAGTGCAATGCCTAATTATAAGAAAAGATTTATTTGTTGAATAAGGTCAGTATAATCTTACTAGAATGCAGTCCGAACAAAGATAATATTTATGTAATTATAATGATAATTTGAGATTATTTAGTCATGTCAGTATCAGTATCTGCCAGCGGGCACCTTGTACAAATAAAATTTCGTCTAAATATGCTTCCATAAATTGTTGTTGTGGTAACGATGCCAAAATGGCCGAATTGTTCAAGTTCGGAAAATTTTAAAAAATGTTTGTATTTCTTTACAGCTTTGATTCATATGTTTTATAGAAACTTAATTTTTTATGATTGTTATAGAGTTGGGTCTGGTAAACATTTCTTCAGATGCTTAAAACGCTGTATTTTCGTTTGTTTACACATATTTCGTACTCAATTTTTTCGAACCAAATAAACAAGCTGAAATTTTGAAATGATTTATTGCTTGATCCTATGTTCACATATTAAAAAGTATGTGAAATATAAACAGTTTGATATTAAAAAGTGCATTCTAATATAATACTGATTATAATTTGAAAAAATAAGGGTTAATCTGATCTAATTGAAACACACTCATGCTTAAATGATTCAAGATTCATTAGTACATTACTAGAGTCTATCCCAGTCTTGTAAGATAATTTATGATGAGTTTTTTATTTTGTTACAGAGCTAGATATCAATGTAAATAAAGATGAAAAACACTTGGACAATAGGACATTGAAAAATCAGTATACTACTACTTTACTGGTCACATCAGCCACAGCAAAACATAAAGCAAAATGGCAGAGACAAAGTCTATGAGAGTGGTGCCTAGTGGCAAAATCTATAGACAAATGTTTGATGCACAGGTATGAATTTATCATTATATAGTTTAATTGGTAGTTTTCTTAAATCAAAGAACATAAGTAGATCTACTAGGGATGTAACAATACGGCAAAAACCGCATTGCAATATATTTCCATTTTGCAGAAGCATATTGCAATATATTGCAATACGTATGTCGTGTATATGTTTTGATGTAAAGATGGGGTAACAATTAACATTATATATTATTAATATGAAATTAGGCAAAGCCTATGAACCGGGAAGTCAGTTAATTTTTTCCATTTTAAAGGTGTCATTCGGTATTATATGCACCGCTTCCGTTTTCACTCAGAATATTCGACGATTATCTGGGCCGCTTATGTTCATTTGTAATTTATGTGGCCACTTATTGACTTTTAAGTGTACTAGTTGTCGGATATTTTTATCTTACGTTGGCGCTGATAAAATTCGCCAATTAAAGATTTTATGTGAAATTTGTACAAAATTAGAAGGCAATTAATTGAAAATAATGATTTGGTAAAATACTGGTTTTCAGAAAATTGTACTGACACTACTGTGGTACGAATTTTTTTTATCATATTGCAATATTATATATCTATATACAGATACACCCTTACACCCTTAATAGGTACTGTACCATACACATGTTACTTGTAAAAATTGATTATGCAGGGTTCCCGCTGTCGCTCGCCAATGGCGCCAAATGCGACAAAATATTAATTCTGGCGCATAAAATCTTTAATTGGCGAATTTAACTGGCGCCAACGTAAGATAAAATCATCCGACAACTAGTACACTTAAATGTCATAAGTGGCCGCGTCAATTACATAAGCGGCCCAAATTTGAAAGGTCACGCGCTATTAGTTTGTTTATCAAACTGTATAATCGGGTACCGTATAATCAATTATGTCATCAATTGTGTGACACTTCGGGAGCATGTAAAGATGAAAGTGTCAATGTGTTAATTGGGGCAATTTACGTCTTTCATTCTCTGACTTGGAGCAATGATAATTACATGTGTGGTCAACAGTGTTAGTAGCGAACAGAGAAGTGAAAGATCGTCCGTGATGTTGACAAACAATTGAAACATTGAACTTCAGGTAAGTTGACTTGTCAACTGATTAAAAATAATTACAGTTTGAATATTAAATCGGATGACAATTAAAAGAATAATTTCACTAATGATTGATCTAAAGCCACTGTTACTGCAATGTTAATATTTTCATATCTGATTGTAAAGTGCTGAAGTGTCTATTCACATGCAAACCCTATTAAAATAAACAATATTTTTCATTGTTAAAAATACTTTTATATCTATTTCATATTTTGTTCTCATTGATTTTTAGATGAAGTCAATTTATAGTAATGGTTTTTTTTTTATTTTGTATATGTAGATCACCAGATTGTCGGGTAGAAGCTGGGAAAGATCTTGGCTCAGTCCAGCCTGTGAGAAGAACTGCTATACTGGCAAAACAGTGGAAAACAGGACCTCTCATGACTAACTTAACATGATGTTTTTGATTACATTTATGCTGTCATGTGTACATAATGTATTTATTTAAATGGAATTTGAAAACCACATAATAGTATGTCTATATTTTAGATAATAAACATGACTTGTGCAGTTGTAATAAAATGAAATATCATAAATATGTGTTTGTAATCATAATGATATATAACTGCTAGCATATGGTAGCAAAGATAGTCCATGTCTCCCTTGCAGAATTATTGGCTCCAACTTTGGAGCCATTGGCTCCAACTTTTTCTGATTGGCGAATTTAGTGGCGCAAACTAATTTTAACCCAGAGAGAACCCTGATTATGCACTTGGTACATTTGCTATCTATTAGTATTTCAATTCATTTTACACTCTAAGGTTCCATTAGTACTGAGTTACAAAATGTTAAGTTAATGTTTTTAGGGTTCTTTTTTGAAAACTGCAAAAACAGAATTTATTATGTAGATCTATTAAAGGTCATGTTTTATCAGTGAATTAAAATCCACATTACTCACTGCATAATACTATAAATTAATACTAGCCATTAGTGAAATAGCCTTACCCTACATTTTTATTGGCATGCATATTAGTTTAATTTACTTCAAAGTAATATTTTATGGCTTCAGATAACATTTATTTACCTCATTTAACTTGTTAATATTTACAGTGTGATGATCAGATGACTTCATTATTTTTGTTTGTGCAATAAATGAATATCTTAATTCATCTCCTTTTAATGATGCATGAAATAAAAAGGAAGCATTTATGCATATATATATCTCAGATCAAAGAGAGAAAAATATCCACATTTTTACTTAAGCTATGTGCTCATAAAAATGCTACAATTTTTGTCACATCTGAATCATATCCACTCAAAACAAACAAGTGTATATATATCTTCCTCCTAGGGTTGCAATGTGAGGAAAACATAATTGGGGTAATTTAAAACCTAACCAAACCAAAAAAAAAGATACATGTACAATTACAAAATTTCTTCTGTTTGCCTCTTTATTAGGTTCAACTGAATCGCAGTCTGACAAAAATTCAGAGAGACTCTACAAGTATAACAAGAACAACGGCTGGAGGAAGTGCAATTCCACTTGTACGTTTGTCAAAAGGTAAGGCCTTAAATCAGAATTCCATAGATTAAATTGGGGATTTTATATAAACTGACTTTCCATATGATCCCAATTTCTCTTCTACAATTTTTTTGTGATTTAAATAAACAGATAAATGTTGTTTTTTTTGGGGTTTTTTTCAATGCTTTTGATTATTAACAAATTATTATTTATACTTTTCATGATTATTAATGTGAAATTTTAATGTATTGTTTGTTGTATGTCTTAAAGGTTATCAAAATAATTGTCAGTTTGTTAGAACTTGTAGTATCTGATTTTTTTTCTCAATATTTTCAGATGATATTGAACATGGTATTTTGGGCGAGAGACAGCGCACCTGGGCTGATGGGTTCCCAAACGATCCCTACACTGAAAACCCTGTCGTGTACAAGTAGGTTTACTTTTTTATTTACAACATGTGGTCATCAGTGAGCATGTAGAAATAACAGTCAGTCTCACATGTATGAAAATAATCATCATACTCTTTTATGTTTTCAAACATTTTTGCGGTAGTTGAAACAAATATTTTCTAACTTAATGTTTAAGCTATACATTATCTAAAGTTCATGAAAAAATTATTCATTTATGGTACTTATGACATGGGGAGAATTGTTATCTTCTCCATTATTGAAATTTGTAAATGTATTTGATTATCAGTCCCGCCCCTCTAGCATAGACTTTGTGTTAAGTTATAAAGACTTCAATCAAAAATAATATTCCAATCTTTCAGTTCAATTATATGAAACGGTAACGCCTTAAAATCTGTTTTCTTGGAGAAAAATTGTTTTACCTTTATACAATCTTAAAATAATAGCTTTGATAGTCCAGTTTATAAGTTTATAGGTTCTATCTTGACTTCTCATTACTGTGGATACAACAAAATTGATATGACAATTTCTTATTTCAACATTTTTCTCATGTTAACAGGCAGTATGCTGAGTATGTTGGTACCCAAATGAAGGAACCAGAAAGTTCTATAGAAGGTAAAGAAGTGAGAGGACTGCCAGATGTTGTAGGTAAGTGGTATACATGTTTGAATAATCCAACAACTTTCAAAAATGAACGGAAATGTAATCATGTAGTTAAAGGTTTATTTTCTTCTTGCCTTCAAAATCTTCAGAAAACATGCACCTCCATACTTTATCACTTTCCTGAAAAAAAAACTAGACACATAGATGTACATGTAAATCTGAAGTTCTACACAGAAACAAGATAATGAATGGTCAGTGTATTTGTTTCTTAAATCTCAAAGGAGGCGGGAATTAATGTGACTGTAGGATAAAATTTTTAATTATAAAAGAAATTCATAAATGTTTAGCAGAATGCTAAGATTGAAGATCTTAAGGATTAAGGGAACTTTTGTTTTTAAATGTGTTAAAAAAGTTCTAAAAGTTTTCTTAAGTAAAAATGTCTTCGTTTGTTTCATAGAAACTTACCAAAGAATTATCTGGCATTTTCCCATATGAAGCCCAAGCTCACATATCTTCATGTTAAGGGATGTTATAATTTTATTATAGCTACTGCCAAAGAGAAATCAAATATCATAGAGCGTATTGCAGCCAGCAGGAAGGAGAGGCATGAGTCAACAGTTGAAGAAATGCATCAGGAACTTAGTGTTATAAATTCTGTAAGTTACATGTATGTTTTTAGATTTCTTGGGCATTAAGACCACACCTGCTTAGCTCTGTAGGGAGCATAGTTGGTTTACTTCAGTGAGCTTTTATGAGTGATTTTGGACCTTTAGAGTTGTATCATGATCCCTGGGTTGTGAGTTTATATCCTTGGAGAGGCAAATATTATCTGTTTCTAAGTTTAATCATCTTATAGAAGAATAATATTCTTTCATTTGTGAATTAAAACCATTTTAGAGGCATATATTCTACTATTTTAGAATAAAAACCATCCTACAGGCATTATGTTCTCCTATTTACATATTTCTCCATTTTTGAGTTTAAAATCTTTGTGAATTTATATCTGGGAAGAGTCATTTATTCTCTACAGGTGAGTTTAAAATTATTTAAGAGGCAAATAAGAAGTTTGATAAAAGAACACATGTCTTAATGTTTATAGTATTCCTGTCTGTTATATGACTTATGTAATGTTACAAGTTAGTGCCTCACTGCATTATTACATGATTAAAGCAAAATAAATATACATTATTACATGAGAATAATGATTAACATTTTTGTAAATGGCAGGATAAACAATTGGCAGATTTAACTGAAGTGATTTCAAAACCTTTGAGCCAAGGGCATTTGTTTGAAACACAGGTGTTCAGCACTTTGATACTTCCCCCAAGAACAACACTCAAAAAGATAAATATGTACATGTATTTACTAAATATATAATGTATCTATCTTGTTTTGTTGTTCAAAGTAGTAGCCAATCAACGTACCAAACACCTGTGGTTTGAAACTGTTCAATGAGGCAGATATGTACCATTAAGTTTGATATATTTTAATGACAAGATGTTTTCTATGTTATAGGAGATGGAACCAGTAATAGCAGAGATGTGTCAGAACTTGCTACAGAAACTTGATGATGATGATACAGAAATTGCCTCCAAGCTGGCCAGGATTGAGAAGGATGATGTATGTGAATTAAGATTTATCTATCTTCCTATAGCATATATATGAGCCGCGTTCCGACCAAACCAACATAATGGGTTTGCGACCAGCATGTATCCAGACCAGCCTGCGCATCCACGCAGTCTGATCAGGATCCATGCTGTTCGCTTACAGACCCTATAACAAGTAAAGAAACTAATAGCGAACAGCATGGATCCTGATCAGACTGCGTGGATGCGCAGGCTGGTCTGGATACATGCTGGTCGCACACCCATTATGTTGGTTTTGTCATGACGCGGCTCATATATTTGTTGTTTTTGATTGTTTAGTGTTTTTTTATCTGCCCAGTTTTCATTTTTATTTCCAGAGGAATTTCTCTTTCTGGATTTTACTTGCAATTGTTTTGTTTTTGTTGTTGTTGTTTTTGTTGTTGTTGTTTTTTGTAAATCTATCTATGCAGTTATAAATAACTGAGTATTACACATACATGTATTTTGTTGCATCTAATAGTTAAAAAAAGAAATATATTTTACAGAAGCATATAAGATTTCATGGTGTCTTTATTGCTGAAACAGGAAATAAATATCATTTAATATATATAAACAATATGAAAATAGGTCTTTTTCCCATGATGCTTTATTCTTGGTCTATTACTAAAACAATTGTTATTCAAAATGCTTATTTGCAGGACTTACTAAGTTATTCCCTGGACGAGCTTTATTTGCTATGGGACAACATTCAGGCCCATTCTGAAGTGAGGCAGACATGGATAACAGAGCTGGATGACAGTCTGAAAAAAGCCGAGGATGATAGAATGGAAATGGTATAATTTTTATTTATTTTTACAATTATAAATTAGAAATACTTTATCACATACCTGTGCCACTTTTTAGACTCTGTGAAAATGGTATGGTATGGCTTTGAATATATTTTGATGTGATGTCACTTGCCTTATACAAAAACAGCATAAAAGCATGCTACATATAAGAGTTAATATAGCCTCTATTTATTTCATGCTAACAAGTGAGATACTTGGGTTTTATCTGTGTGATAAAATCCATATCACCTGCAGTGATATATAGCTTTGCAAAATTATTTTCAGTGTGCCTTTGTATGATGCTATAAATTTGTAACTTTAGATAAATGTTAATTGTTACTGTTCTTAATGGCTTATATGCTATATATATTGCACATCATAACATATTTCACATAAAAATAAACAAATATCCTCTATTTATCATTGAGATTTACTACATATATTTATTTTATTTGACTTTGCTAGTGTCACTGTATCAGTTTTTAATGCAAGCTTGATAATATTTGTCACTTTCTGAGAAGCATAAGGTTTCTTTTTAATTTTTTAGATTCGGCGAGTTTTTAAAGACTATGCCAAAATGCTGGAGAAAATAGCACATATCTTATCACCAGATCTTCAAAGGTTCATGGACAAGGAATCCCAGGTATAGTGTTTACCTGAATTAAAAAATAAACCTGAACAGAGACCTGTTGTAATTAACATACAGAGCAACCTCTTCAGAGTGGCCATCTACAGGACAATGAAAATATCAGTTTATTCCCCAAGTATGATTTCATGACAAACTTAACATCTCTGGAGCAAAACCTCTCATCAACAACAAAAATCTTTGTCTCTTTAAAGTGTTGCTCTGCAGGGGTTGTACTGTACATATATGTATATGCATAAATAGATTTCCTACATAACTGTCTATAGGTGAGATAAATGGTTTGTTCATGTAAATATAAAGGTATTGATATAGTCATGTATATGACCACTGTACTTTATGGTAAAATTACTTGTGGAATATAATGTAGAAAGTCAACATATAAATAAAGTGATAAAACTTCTTTTATGCTAGTAAGCTATATTTCTAGCTATCATAAGGTTGTTAGTTCTACCTAAGCTGTGACCTTTGCTTGAAATGAAATACTGAGGTAATGCGTAAATTCTTCAATGACCAAGGACATTTCACCATGGAAATTTGAATTGCGTCATAAGCATGCTTAAAAGTATCAATGTAACCTTAATTTTAGCTCATCGCTTCCCACTTTTAACTCTTTCCATATGGTTATACCTTTCCCAGTTTTAAGAAATTAGAATGAATGATTTACTATTTAAACTGTTATGAATAAGTTTTAAGACCAAGCATAATTTTTCTGTGACACAGTTGATCAACCAGACAGTACTGAGTAATCGTCGGGCATACGGGGACCTGTTTGTACGTCTGATGTCTACAGATATTGAGAGGGAGAAATCCCAGCATACAGTGTGGAAGAGACGTGTTGATGACTGGAAAACATTGAAAACAGAGCTGGCAATACAGAAATTTAGGTGAGTACATGGGAGATGTCTATATAAAGGTAATTTTGAACTGTTGTATATGGCATACTGAAAATTACTTTTGATTACAAATTTCAGGGAAAAATTATAAACATACATGTACATATCTGTTTATTGACCATTTCTGAAGGAGGCTGCATATATATCAAATTTAAGGAAGCAGTGGCATAATGGCCATAAGTTAGCTGCCATGCAATATATGACCCTTGGGCTCAAATCCTACTTGGTTCATTTATTGATTGTCTTAAGTTCAAAAATTGCCCAAGATTTAGAGTTTATATTTAGATTTTTAAAGTTTTTAAATTTTGCTTATTGCTTATTGCCTGACTTGAATTAATTTAGAATGTTTTAATTGAGTGACATTTGAGTATATGTTCAAAGTAACACTATTTCTCAAGGATTGAAATTATTTATTATTTGCTTATTCAGCAATATATCTTCCATTAACATTTTCACAAGTTCAAAAATATATAATACATTTTTATTGATATATTTTACATGAATATTATCACATATTTAAATATATATTTTACATAAACAGAAAATACATGCAAGATGAGAAAGTGACGTCGCCACCTGGAATACAGAAACAGCTTCAGTATATGCTGAAAGAACAAGAAGTGCTGAATGAGAAAAGACTAGAGCTTATCAACCAATTAAGGTAATTCTTACTTGTACCCACACATATTGACTTACCTGCCAATAAGCTAACCTAGGTCTAGTTTAAGCATATTTATTTAGGTTCAATTGTGAAACAAGTTCTTGTTAGTTGTATTAATTACTTTTGAGTCCACTTCCTGGAACCAACCAGTACTGGTGTCATATGATGAAACATGTCGTGACCCGAGTAGGGCTCGAACCCATTATGCCTAGGTTGATGAGAGGCAGACACATTAACCACTAGGCAATGGCTAACCTAGGTGACTTTTACCATGCTGAAATTGTACAATGATTTGTCCTTCTTTAAATTCGGAACTTTTCTTTGTTCATACGAAAATGCTAAAATAAAATTACAACATAAAGTCTTGTCAGATAACATGAATGTGCAAACCTTATCTATATGAGTGGCATAGGTAAGTTTTTAGTACATGTATGGATAGTATTTGACAAGTTAAAGCTTCTGTTTTTGTATTGGAACAAATTATTTTAAGATGTTCAATTTGTTGTAATTTTACAAGTTTGTGTCTTTTTTTGTAGAGACTTAGTTCCACCTTCATCAACAAAGACATCTGTGTATCATTGGAACAAAGGAGTACAGGATGTTTCTTCAGAAATAGGTATATTTCTCTAATTTACCCAGGATCTTTATATAATCATAGTCTTATCTTTTTTATGGGGGCAGAAATATAGGCATTTTCCTAATAAAGAAAATGGTTGAAAAGTTTTATCATATGACTTACTACAAAAAGTCCAAAGATTTCCTTAAACCAGGTTAACTTATTAAAGCTCATGTGGCTTTTGAAAACATCAGTAATATACTGCATTTGTATCATCATCATCATCATCATCATCTGATAAAAATGAGATATTTTTTGTTGATAATTATACAAGTTTATAAATTTAAATGAAATATTTATTTTCATCATCTAATGTTGTGTACTATTTCAGATGTAACAAATCAGCAGCACCTGTCAGCACTTCACAAAGAATATGAAAATGTTTGTCAGAGCTGCCTAGATGAAATAGAGGCTATTAAGGTATGTGTACACCTAAACAAGACTTTTATGTAAAAGGGTATTAGGTATTTGTACACCTAAACAATACTTAAACAAGACTTATATAGAGGCTATAAAGGTTTGTGTATGCCTAAACAAGACTTTCATATAGAGGGAATTATGGTATGTGTACACCTAAACAAGACTTTTATATAGATATTATTAAGGTATGTGTACACCTAAACAATACCTTCATATAGAGGGTATTAAGGTAAGTGCACACCTAAACAAGACCTTCATATAGCGGGATTACGGTATGTGTACACCTTAACAAGACCATCATGTAGAATGTATTAAGATATGTGTACACCTAAACAAGACTTTCATGTAGAGGGTATTAAGATATGTGTACACCTTAACAAGACTTTCATGAAGAGGGTATTAAGATATGTGTACACCTAAACAAGACTTTCATGTAGAGGGTATTAAGATATGTGTACACCTAAACAAGACTTTCATGTAGAGGGTATTAAGAAATGTGTACACCTAAACAAGACTTTCATGTAGAGGGTATTAAGATATAAGTACACCTAAACAAGACTTTCATGTAGAGGGTATTAAGATATGTGTACACCTAAACAAGACTTTCATGTAGAGGGTATTAAGATATGTGTACACCTAAACAAGACTTTCATGTAGAGGATATTAAGGTACCTGTACACCTAAACAAGAATTTCATGTAAAGGGTATTAAGATATGTGTACACCTAAACAAGACTTTCATGTAGAATGTATTAAGATATTTGTACACCTAAACAAGACTTTCATGTAGAATGTATTAAGATATTTGTACACCTAAACAAGACTTTCATGTAGAATGTATTAAGATATTTGTACACCTAAACAAGACTTTCATGTAGAATGTATTAAGATATTTGTACACCTAAACAAGACTTTCATGTAGAATGTATTAAGATATTTGTACACCTAAACAAGACTTTCATGTAGAATGTATTAAGATATTTGTACACCTAAACAAGACTTTCATGTAGAATGTATTAAGATATTTGTACACCTAAACAAGACTTTCATGTAGAATGTATTAAGATATTTGTACACCTAAACACCTAGGTATAAATTATGAAATATAAATTAATTCTAAGATATAAATTAGGTATATAAATTTCATTACAGAGAGAGCTTGTGGAGACAGGTGTATGTACAGAGAGTAGAGCCAAAACTGTAGTTGAGGAGTTTATGATACCACTGGTCGGTGGCCGTCAGAGAATTTATGAAGAAAATCTAGAAACCATGGAGGTAAGTTGTTGTAATGAACTTTTCTTGTAAAGGCAAGCCTTCTTGTTCTTAGAATAATATGATGTGCCTTAATAAGATTTTGAGATGTTTCAGGGTTTACATCATTAACAGATTGGTGATCCATATAATCTGTTAAAATACTGTAAAAATCTGTTGTATTTTCAGCCTGTATATTAAAATAATATTCATGACCTTTGGCAAAATCTGTTGTTTTCTTAAGGGAATCTGTTGCTAATGATAAAAATGAAATACTGTTTTTTTTTTTGTTCTGGGTCAGAATCTGTCGTAGTGATGAGATATTACCCATACCTAAAATAGCACAATATCTCTACTTATAGTACAATTACTTGGTCTAACCTTTTTGTTGATATAATAACAAAACTCTAGAAAGAAAAGAGTCCAAAGATAGCTTACACTTTGATCCTATCTCTGTTTTGCTGACATGCTCATATTTGTTGATGATGAAGGTGTCTAATTCCAATGCCTGAAATTTTATTTTCCAATACCCTGAAATAAGGTATAAGGTTTGAACATTTACATTTTGGTCTTAGAAATTGTGTAACAAAAAGCAGTCACTTTTTAGAATTGTTGATGATGATTAACTTATTTTTTATGGAAATGTTAACTTTTACTTGGTTGTTTTGTTACAGAAATCTCTTGAGGAGCAAAATAAACAGACAACAGAGCAACTGAAGTCTTTGTTCAAGTTTGCCCAGGGGGCAGCACATGTGTGGGATGTACATGAAATAGGTTTGGCTCGCCAAGAGAGGGCGCTGCAGGAAAAACTAGAACAGTGCCGACAGACCCATGACAACCAGAATCAGGTATGTCAACATATTGTTCAATCAAGCATAAAGGTAATAGCTTTTTTATGCCACTGCAATCTGCAAATATTTCTTAGAGGAAGATAAAACATGCTTGCATATCAGACAGGATTATCAACTGTTTGCACCAGTGCTAGAAAAAAACGTCTTACACCAGTGTTCGTACAGTCTTAAAAAGTGCTTAAATTTCAGTCTCTTTCTTAAAAAGTGCTTTAAAAAGTGCTTAAAAGTCCTTGAATTTGATTACTCTTTTGATAAGTGCTTAAAAAGTGCTTAAATTTCAGTCTCTTTCTTAAAAAGTGCTTTAAAAAGTGCTTAAAAGTCCTTGAATTTGATTACTCTTTTGAAAAGTGCTTAAAAAGTGCTTAAATTTGCTAAAAATGTGCTTGAAAATGTTTGAGTCACAGAATGACACAGTTTTGATAAAAATCAACGGTTAATAAAATAAAAAAAAAAGATCCAATTTAGTATCAGAATCAATGAAATGTTGACTCAAGGTAACAGTAAGTTGACAAATTGCAGTTGTTTTGAACTAATCTGTACTTGATGCACCCTTAGTTGTTCTTCTATAATGTTAGAAAATGTGTATTCAACAAAAAATGATGAACAAACTATCCATCATAGGTTGAAGATTGTGTCGGTTTATGTGCAACAAATGAACTTGAAAAATTGGAAAACGTGCTTAAATAGTGCTTAAAAAGTCCTTGAATTTTGGCATTGGATATCTGTACGAACCCTGTACACTCCCAGTGTAAGACAAGTGGACTGATTCAAATGAAGTCATTCCTACGCACCTTTCATGAATGATGTGCATTCTTGATGTCATGAAGGATGACAGCATTTGCTGTTATGAAAGAGATTGTAAATTCATAGGCAACTATAAGGAAAAAGTGCTAAATCAAAATATTAGTTTTTGTATTTTTCCCCAAAATTATGATTTATATGTACATGTAATATGCAAGAAAAAGAAATTAAACATTGGCTGTTGTCAGAGACAAAAATATCTAGCTCTTGAATATCTATTTAGTGGAAATAAAGTATATCTATATATTTGTTATCTATTTAGAATGACCTTACTTTACATGATTACAGGATAAAGAAGCTCACCTGGACATTATCATGGATAGAATGAGACAGGACGCCACAGAGAAAGCTTTGAAAGATAGCTTGACCAGAGCATTAGAAATGCTTGAAAAAATCAGACATGCGTAAGTTTATTATTAACCTGCTTGTTAAGAGTTTCTTTTACACGAAGAAAGAAAAATATCAGAGTGCTTTATCTTGAAAAAAAAAAGTATTTTGGTAGAGATGAAAATAACTGGATAATATTTAAGAGCATTACTTGCTCTTCTATCTCACATTATTAAATAAAATTTTGTTTTGTTGAATAATTTTTTCATACAGTACCTGACAGTTGCTATAAAATTGCCTGTAAAATTATCGTGTTTCATGATGTACATAAAACAAAGGGGTATAACTGATAACTATTTGCATGCCCAAATTACTCGCTTACTTACTTCCCTTAGGGAGTACAACTGTTAAATGAGATTTTTCTACTATATATATACTGTTAGGTATGAGATATTCCACAAAGATCAGACAAACATTGTGAAAGGATATCCAGATATGGTAAAATCTGAACTGAAGAACTATGATGAGGCTTTACTGAGGTTGTTCAGTGTGGGCAGAAATAAACCAGGAAATAAACCAGTAAGTTCTTACATTGTTTTATTTGAATTTGGCATTATCTTTGTAATTTATATTACAAATTTAATGTGGATTCTGTTACTTACATGTTACCATGTAAGTTAATACTGACATTTTTACACATGAGCTAGGAGATATAGATTACATGGCTGATGTTCGGATGGAGAGCATTTATCCGGTGCTAACTTTCACAGCGAACCGGGTAAATCTTCACCATCCCAACATCAACCATGTAATTGATTTATCCTGCTTTTGTCTACTTTGATCATGTTTTAAGATGATGTAAATGGTTTCATTCTTACTTTCTTCCGATGAAACAGGGTCTAAAAGTTACCGTAAAATTCCTACTAAATGCCCCCGGGGGCTAAACATTTTCCAAAATTATTACAACACGTTTTTTCCTAAATCCAAAAATCATTGAAAATACATTTAGTGTCAACAAGTGTTGGTAATAACATAAAAATGTATTAAGATTTTAAAGGTCATGTGATACATTTTTGTGTTTACTATGAAATAAAATGGATTCTGAAGGATTTGAATAAAATTACAGATTTATTAAAGAGTTCACCACTGATGAGCAGATTTTTTTCCATATCGAAAAGCCTGGGGGGGGGGCTTTTATTAGGGGAGGGGCGTTTATTAGGAATTTTACAGTAGTTTTGTTTTTGCTGTTAATCATGTGACGTCATCACTGGAGATTTATCCAGCTGGTAATATAGACAGTAGTAGGATAAAATTATAACATGATGTTCAGTCTTGTTAAAGACTTGTTATAGACACTGAAAAAATTGTCTATGTTTTTCTCCATTGAATGTAAAATTTGCATGGCTGAAAAAGGCATTTTTATGTGGAATAATGATAACTTAAAATGTGTAATTTTGTATCAAAAAATGAATTATATATTAAAATTGTTGTTCAGTCGGAATCAGATGTTGAGGAGGAATCTGCTGAGGAACGTACTCCGGTTCAACCGGAATCTTCCATTGAAGAAGAAGGGGTAAGACAGGCTATTGTGCTGTAATGAAGCATGCTACCCACCCATAACAGAAAAATGTAGTGCTCCATTTTAACTAATTTTAGCAGTTTCATTTTCAGAATTTCCATATATTTATTTTAGTTTCACTGAATTTACCAACATTTTGTTTGTATCTAAAATATTGCAACACCCATGATTTATAATAACATGTACAGTTTAACTGATTGCAAATTCTAACTTCAAATCACTTTACTACCACTTATGTTATTTTGATGCTCTAAAAAAGTTTGAGTTTATTAAATGAAGCCAAATTCTGGAATGGGCAGAAAATTTTCCTTTAATATGAATTTTAAGGCCTTTACTATGAAGCTGAGGCGGCCTTTAAGGTATTCTAATGAGTTTAATAGACAGAAATTTTGAATGCCTATGGCTTATGTCCTGAAACTTTAAATGTCTATGGCTTATGTCCTGAAATTTTAAAGGTCTATGGCTTATGTCCTGAAACTTTAAAGGTCTATGACTTATGTCCTGAAATTTTTAAAGGTCTATGGCTTATGTCCTGAAATTTTTAAGGTCTATGGCCTTTGTCCTGAAATTTTAAGGTCTATGGCTTATGTCCTGAAACTTTAAAGGTCAATGGCTTATGTCCTGAAACTTTAAAGGTCCTTGCCTTATGTTCTGAAACTTTAAGGGTCTATGGCTTATGTCCTGAAACTTTAAAGGTCCTTGCCTTATGTTCTGAAACTTAAAGGGTCTATGGCTATGTCCTGAAACTTTAAAGGTCCTTGCCTTATGTTCTGAAACTTTAAGGGTCTATGGCTATGTCCTGAAACTTTAAAGGTCCTTGCCTTATGTTCTGAAACTTTAAGGGTCTATGGCTTATGTCCTGAAACTTTAAAGGTCTTTGCCTTATGTTCTGAAACTTTAAGGGTCTATGGCTATGTCCTGAATTATAAAGGTCAATGGCTTATGTCCTGAAATTTTAAAGGTCTATGGCTTATGTCCTGAAATTTTAAAAGTCTATGGCTTATGTCCTTTGAGATTTTATTAGTCTACAGCCTATGTCCTTGAATGGACAGAAAATGGAAGATGGATCAGATCTCGCTTTAAGAATGAAATACTGAATACTTTAAATATTGTTACCACAAAATATATTCTGTGTTACTAAAAACACCCGAGAAATTTTTGACATAAAGTCAGCATAGAGTTTCAATTATTCTAGCTTAAAACAAATGCATAAATATTCACTTAACATATATGCATTTTATGTTTAAATTTATGTTAGATCTTTAGTAATAAATTTTGAAGTGGGTTCTTGAGAAATTACCATTTTTGATAGAAGTCCCCTTCCCCATTTTTTCATAAGTTTTATAAGCAATACTATAAATTCAATCTGAAGGACAAGTAATGGGTGTCATGCCAAATTATTATAATACCCAACATTATTTAGATACATACAAACATTGTTTTTGTTTTGTAAAGAAATTATTTTAAACAAATGATAGTACATATATAGCCTAAACAAATTGCATGTATGAAATCTAGGAAGGCCAAGAAATAAGGAAATAATGTTCACCACCTCATATTCTATTTGATTGAATCATTCGTGCATAACAGAGATTGCCTGTATCATAAATTGCCAAGTTCATTGCAAAAATTCAATACTTAGCTTAGAAATATTTTTAGTGTTAGATAAAAACAAATTATTGGCTTGCTTGAAAACAGAAAAAAAGGAAATAAATGGATAAACAATGAGTAATTTTGAAGAGGTATATTATTTACAACTGAAAGGAGTTATACATGTATGTAATTACATTTATCAATGTGCATGTATATACACATTTAGGTAGAGTTATTCTTCTGCCTTGGGCACTATAGTTAAGTTAATTTTGGGTACAGCCCATTTTTTAACTGAACCCTCTCAGATATTGTATTGACATTATTTATTATTTGCTGGAATTCATGATGTTCACATGTATTGCATGGCAAGAGAACATAACTCTGTCATGAATAATCACATAATTATATGCCCCTTTCTTTTCTTAGAATTTTGATAAAGTTTTAAGTACCCAACCCACATTTTTCTTTTAACCCTTTGAGATATTGTTTTAAAATATGAACTTCTTATTTATGATCTTTATACCTATTTCCAGGAAAGGTACCATAACTCTGTTATGTAATGACATGATTTTTGCCCCTTTCTTTACTATTCAAAGATATTTTCCTATTCTACGAAGAGTCAGGTGCTCTTTGTAACAGACAGCTTTTGCTTGCAATTGATAATTACCAATGGTAAATCTAATAGAATTCTGCAATTTTTAATACACATTACGTTTGTAAATACCATGTTGAAGCAAAATATCTGTTAAAATTGCATATAATTATGTCATCAAAGGATTTTACAAATCCTAGTTTTAATAAATTAAAGTATTTGGGTTTTAGTTGTTGGTATTGAATAAGAATTGTAGATTTAGAATATATTGCCAAATATTTTAATCTGCTAGTTTTCTTGTAAACAGAAACAGAAGGCAATTATAGTGTTAGATGTTTTTCTGCATAATGATAATACTTTTTTATTCTTTGTGTATTTTTTGTCATTTTTGTAAACATTTAGGTAGTATATTTAGATATTTTAAGATTTCTTAACTTTATAAACCCCTTTTTTGTTAAAAAAAGCTTTAGGTAGTATATTTAGACGTTTTAACTATTTATAAACCCCATTTATTTAGTTGATATAGTCAACATTTAGATAGTTTTCTTAATAGTCTTTTTAATGCAAAGATAACTTTTGTTTAACCTTTATAATTACCCTATTTGAATCTGATTAGGCTTCAAGCCACCAGGCAGTATAGAGCCAGGTCAGTCTGCACATTATTGTAGTTTGACCAGGCTAGCTCTGTACTGTTTGCTGACCAACTTTTCAACTTGATATCCCCATTATTGATAATGAACAGTTCCAACAATGAAAGTTGGACAAGTCCATTTAAGAAATATAGCAGAATAAGGGTTAATACTTCAATAGTTTAATAGCCAGTGTAGAATTTAGTATATCTGACATTTCATTGTGCTGAAAGCTAATTGTAAACATCAATAAAAATGTATGCATTATGAATGCTGTTAATTTTACCATGAAACTTAATTATGTTATAAAATATATTTGCCCAGCTTTCTGTTAAGAGGACTTGATAAATGCATTTAGAATATAGTTTTATGAAAAATGCATGATAAAATGTGGTAAAATCAACATAAAAATTACAAAACTTTAAAATCATGTAATGATTATGCACTAGCCAATTGTTACCACAGGTTGCTTATAAAAATGAAAAAAACTGGTTATTATATTGGCATATGTCCGCAAGCTTGTGTAAACAGTCACTTCTATGCATACTTAACTCCTTTATTTATCCATGAATATCAGCCAAATTTTCACAAAACTATCCTAATAAGTTTCAAGGTACTTATTTTCAGAGTTATGTGATTTCAATTTTTACTTCACAATAAAGTTAACCTCTCTAGAGTGTTACACCCCTAAGCAATTGACTGTCTCCCAAAGGGTGTTGCTTTGCTGAGGTTGTACTGTATCTTTAACTAAAGTAATAACATTTGAAAATATTTACAAAGAAAGTTAGATCTGAAATATTTCTGAAATGTTAAATATCTAATGAGTTGTTTGTTGTTGTTGTTATTTTATTGAAGTTTATTATTAGGGACAAGCATAATAGTTCTTGTAAAATCTGGAACTCGGCAAGTCTGGGGTTTTCCAAGCTAATTTCCCTCGGTACAAACAAACTTTTACTATTCTTCAAAATGCACTACCTTTCACGATAACTTTGTCAATCTGTAGTGCTTATTGTGTTTGTACACTGTCAGATGAGCTGGGATTAAACCCAAAATACCGTATGTTGTTTATTGGAAGAGTGAACTGAAAATGTTTTTAGGCCTAAATCAGATTACTGTTGGCATGTGATACATTTGTTTTTGCCTGCATGATTCATGTTGTGTGATGCAAGATAGAATTTATAATATATTGCATGATAGAATGGTTGTATTGTGAATGTTTAAAGATCCGTTAATATGTAACCAGTGAAGGACTTTCTGTTAAACTGTCCTATCTCTAACTTTATTTAATCTAAGTTACAGCAGTATTGCTAAAAAGCACAAATGTCACGCAATATCCATTGGGATTTGTATGCTGCTTTAATTAAAATAAGAAATTTTGTATGAAATAGTGAAATAAGTTTAAATGTGTTTTATGCTTATTATATGACTTTCATTAGAGAAATTTTGATAAATTTTACGATGTTTTAGGAAGCTATCAAGTTAACTTATTGAAATTTGATGGTTCTTCTTTTATATGAAATAATGTACTAGTATGTTGGGATCTTATTTCCGCCCATTATTTCCCCCATTTAAAGGCTTGAAAGTTACTGTAATATGATGTAGCTTCCAGTAATTTTATTATGTTTTGCACTGATGAAGGATCTAGCCGAAATGTCTGCAAAATGTTGGTGTTCATGTGGCTTGTTTGTTAATTATAATATGACCTTCACTTTGATAATATCAGACTTCAAACCAAAAATAAATATGAGAAAAATATATCAGCGGTTTTGTGAAATTACCCTTTTAGTAGCAATACAGTTTTGTGGCCTTATAAATAATGTCTACCTAATTTAACAGTTTTCTTTCCTTTCTTTTACAGCCTGATGGGAAGGCAAAGAAGAAAACAATGGCGATGAAACTAAAACCGGTAAGTTCAGTATGTAGCAGTTAATTTTGTTTACAACGTAAATATGGCACACATATTGAATTAATCATGTTTGACATCACATTCCTCATACAACCTTCCAGTTTCAAGTTTGAAAGACGGTATTGTTTGGCTAAGAAACAAGGCTTTTTATAAAACTGTTTATAGCTGAACCGGTCTTTGTAAATTTCTTTTAGATTGTGCAATGACATTTTAATAGTTAATTTTTTTTTATACCTCTTGAACAAATACAGATGCTGGTTCGATTTAAATTGCCCAGTAGTAATTATGACTAAAGTCATGTTAAACTGGCACAAGAAACTTTTTGGACACAATTTTGTTTGAAGAAATCTTTCTTGTTAAAACAATAGTTTATCTTAAATATTAAACTAATATTTTTCTATTCTTAACATAATCTAATAACAAACTATTCAAAATTGTCTCAGTGGCACGGCTGCACACATCTGTGTCATTAGCAGGGTGTGCGAGACTAAACATTAATTTCATTTATGAAATAAAACACTTTAAACTTTAATTTTACACAGTTAAAATGAATGTGTTAAAAAATATACATCAAAATCAACAAGCATATCTTAAAATGTTTCAGTTTACTTGCCTTAAAGAAGAAAATATTGTGTGATATTGTAATTATAGGTGTAAATGTTAAAGTGTTATGAAAAAAGCCTCGACTATTTTGGCAATCTGATACACCACAAAACATATTACACATAGTGATGAAGGTTTATAGACATTTTTTTTAAATATGTATGTAAATTTATCCCTTTTACTATTAAATCTATATATGATATACCTATTAGAATTATCCATTGTTAAAGTGGTTTCAATTTCACAAAGCTTTAAGTTAACCCATAACCTGCTGAAATTGTGTAAGGGATTTGCCCTGCCTTTGGAATTTGGAACAGTCCATTTGAATATTTAGGGATTTCAGTATCAAAATACAAATATTGAGTAGCCAACGGTATAGAGCCATGGTCAGACTGCATAGGTGTGCAGACTGTCCGGGCTCTGTACTCATAGCAAAGCATGTTATAAGGAATAAACAGTAAAATTAAATGGACAGATGTTTAGGCTCTCTTATATCAATAAAGTGTGGCAATGGGTCTGTTATTATTGTTTGTCACTGGCGAAAACTAGAATATGAGAGATAAAATAATTATAAAGTACAAAAAATATCAGCCTTTTTATTAAAGAGAGCTCTAAAATGTTGTTTTACTTGGTACCTTTGTACCATGAGTGCTTGAGTAAACATTTTATGACATACATTGATAAGAATTTTATCTCACTGTTTTGCATAGTTTATTAATCTTAAAAATCAGTAAGATGATTATTCATTTGGACTCTTTAAGCCTTACAGTGTCAAAGGAGGTTTTATTGCATAATTACTGTGTATTACTGGGGAAATTTTTAACTGGACTGGAAAATGTTTGAACCTGTATACTGTATACTGTAGTATACCTATATACTATATACATGTATATCCACTGCCAAATACGTAAACATAAACTTTTCTTGTTGGAGTCACCAATATGTTATTTAATTTCATTTTTAGCTTGACTATTCGATAAGAAAAAGTAGAGCTATTGTAGTCACCCGAGCGTCGGCGTCGGCGTAACCACTTATGTTAAAGTTTTTGTAATAGTTTAAATATTTTCAAAGTCCATTGACATATGGCTTTGAAACTTTGCACACTTGTTCACCATCATTACCCCAACCTGTAAACAGGAGGACGTAACTGTATCAAGCATTTTGACAGAATTATGCCCCTTTTTCGACTTAGAATTTACGTTAAAGTTTTTGTAATAGTTCAAATATTTTCAAAGTCCATTGACATATGGCTTTGAAACTTTGCACACTTGTTCACCATCATAACCCCAACCTGTCAACAGGAGGAGGTAACTGTATCAAGCATTTTGACAGAATTATGCCCCTTTTTCGACTTAGAATTTACGTTAAAGTTTTTGTAATAGTTCAAATATTTTCAAAGTCCATTGACATATGGCTTTGAAACTTTGCACACTTGTTCACCATCATTACCCCAACCTGTAAACAGGGGGAGGTAACTGTATCAAGCATTTTGACAGAATTATGCCCCTTTTTGGACTTAGAATTTACGTTAAAGTTTTTGTAATAGTTCAAATATTTTCAAAGTCCATTGACATATGGCTTTGAAACTTTGCACACTTGTTCACCATCATTACCCCAACCTGTAAACAGGAGGAGGTAACTGTATCAAGCATTTTGACAGAATTATGCCCCTTTTTCGACTTAGAATTTACGTTAAAGTTTTTGTGATAGTTCAAATATTTTCAAAGTCCATTGACCTATGGCTTTTAAACTTTGCACACTTGTTCACCATCATTACCCCAACCCGTTAACAGGAGGAGGTAACTGTATCAAGCATTTTGACAGAATTATGCCCCTTTTTCGACTTATAATTTACTTTAAAGTTTTTGTAATAGTTCAAATATTTTCAAAGTCCATTGACATATGGCTTTGAAACTTTGCACACTTGTTCACCATCATAACCCCAACCTGTAAACAGGAGGAGGTAACTCTATCAAGCATTTTGACAGAATTATGCCCCTTTTTGGACTTAGAATTTACGTTAAAGGTTTGTAATACCTCAAATATTTTCAAAGTCCATTGAAATACACACCTAAGCCCAAAACAAAGAAGAAAAAGAAGAAACTATTCAGCTTTAATTTTGGAAAACAAATCACATCCACTCCAGTCAATAGTCATTATTATCAGAATCCAACAGTAGTATCAATAGAAAGTCTAAGTTCTGATAAAAAGCGTACATCTGTTACATCTGAAAAAGCACCAACTATGGCAAATCCTTCATGTGAAACAACCACAAAAGTGGGGGACACTGATATCAACAATATAAATACTGAACAGTCAAGGAAGCTATTAGAACAAAATGACCAAATCTCTACAGAAAATACAAAACCGAAACAGCAACAAACAGATGACTTTTGTGAAATAAAATCTAAAAATGAAAACTTGAAAGCACAAAACCTTCAGCTTAAAACAGAAAACACCAAACTCCAGAATGAAAGGAAACCCGAAAAATAATATTTTAAAGCAAAATGAGCTATCGAAGGGAAAACCTTTCAAAGAGAAATTTGATAATTTAAAGGCAAAAATTTTAACATTTAGAAAACAGATCAGGGAAATCATAGGGGAAATCTTTCCAAAAAATCTGAATTTGAGCGACCCTTTTTTTTACAATTGTAAAACATGAAGAAGAAAAATCTAAGCTTTAAACAAAAAAACAATCTATCAAACCAAAAAAACAAAATTCTTCGAGAAAAAATGGCATTTTAAGGAAAAGAAAAAAAAAATATTTTGGGCACCCCAAACCAAAACCGAAAATATTAAGGGAAAACCCAAAAAACCCCCAATTTCCCACTTTTGCTTCAACACTCCCAACTTTTTCAGAAAAAGAACCCGTCAATTTGCCCCTCAAAAAACAGACTTTTTTCTTTTTTCCCGCTGAAGTGTGTACAGCTGAAAAAACAACTCCTTAATGATGATGAAAAAACTGTAAGGAAAACTCAAGCAACAAATGCAGAAGAATAAAACAACCTTATCCCAACCTCCTACCAACAAAGAAACTGCATCAGAATTACAAGAAAACTCTCAATGTTGCATCAATACATCCCAACCAAAAACCAAAAAAATCTGTATTCTTGGAGACTCAGTGACAAAAATTATCAACAGAAAGAAATTCTCAGGAGAAATCTTGGACACCCAAATTAAATCACATCCTGCTGCAAAAGTCCAAGACATAACCAACAATCTGGATTCTGGAAATACCAAAGAACACTTATCTCAGAGTGATGTAACTATAATTCATGCTGGAATCAATAACATATCAGATGCAGAAACTACAAATCAAGTTATTGATAATTTTAAGACTTTAACACAAAAAGTGCAATCAATAAATCAAAATACAAACATCATAATTTCTTCTATTTTACCAAAGAAATATGATAAACTCTCCACCAAACCAATCGCTGAAATAAACTGCCAGGCAGCTATCTTTTGCAAGGACAATGCCCATGTGTTCTTGGGACAACACCAGTAGTTTCATGAAAAATGGTTCTGTAGATAAATCTCTGTACTACGATGAAGTACATCTCACACAAAACTGGAGCAGCAATTCTTGCTAAAAACATGAAAAAGGCACTCTTTACTGAAATCAAAATCTCTGCTGACATTAATGGACCTGAAGAAAATTTTCACAGACAGGGCCTCCCATACAACAAGAGTCATCAGAGATACCAGAGAGGACCTCCAATCAACAGACAACCCTGGAAACAATCATACTTCTACACAAACAAATGGGAAGAAGTCAACCCAAACAGTGGCACATCAGCGAGAATCTCATCAGCTACCAATGATGATGCCCTTTGGTGGCCATAAATGAAGACTCAATCAAAAAGTGTCAATAATACTAATGTCTGTTGACTTGAACTCTGCAAAATTCTTTTCTAGTGATCTATTTGATAAGTCGGGTTTAAAACTTTATGCATCTAAATATTTGCCATCTTAACAACAATTTGATGAATTTAGGCATACAATTGATAATGTAAAAGAACTAGATTTTATTGGCCTATGTGAAACATTTCTTAAATGAAAATTATTCTGACAGTGAATATGTTTAGATAATTATCAGTTATTCCGTTGTGATAGAGGTTCGAATGGAGGTGGTGTTATATTGTATACAAAACAGTGTTACCCTTGCTATCACAGGACAGATTTGAATAGACAAACAATAGAAGCAATATGGATTTGAGGTTAAATGTGAAAATCAAAAAATCTTTCCTTGTTGGATATATTAATAGGAGCCTCCCTCATCACCTTCTAGCTGGCGAATACAGATATTGAAGAAATACTTGAAAAGATTTTTCTAGAAGGCAAAGAATTAATTCTATTTGGAGACTTTAACTATAATTATGTCAATTCAGCAACAATTAATAACACATGGAATCATGTTACAGATACATTCATCTCAAACAACTTGTTAAAAACACCAACCAGAGTTACTTCCACTACATCTACTATAATGATCATATCTATTCAAATGTTCCTGAGAATATACATAAAATACATGTACCCGGTCCTTACACTTAGTGATCACTACCCAGTCGTGTTTTTGTGCGCAAGTCTAGACATAAGCCTAAACATGGACCTGTACATTCTGTAATAACTTATATAGAAATATGAAAACTTTTAATGAAAATGAATATCTCATTGAATTACAAAATCAACCTTGGTCAGTACTTGAACATATTTACAGATACTGATGATGCATTAGACTATTTATTAATACTTAACATCAGTCCTAAACAACATCTGGCACCACACATAACAAGGCGAGTTAAATATGTAAATCAGCCAGACTGGGTTCACTCATTGAAATAGCCGAAACAATTAAGAAAGAGAATTAAAGCAAAACAGGCCGCTTAAAATATAGACTTACTTATAAAATACTTCGTTCAAAAGTCAAGAAACTTACTGCAGAAGCTAAAAAGAATTTTTTCACACACTGTAATCAATGAAAATAAAAAAAGATACAAAAGAAAATGTGGCAAAATTTAAAACACCTATCAGGAAAAAATACTAATACTCAAACTCAATTCATTAACGATGAAAATGGAGAACCAATCACTCTTCCTGCTGAAAGCGCAAACACAAAATTTAATGAATTCTTCACAAAAGTATTTTTAAAAGGGCCACCTAATGTCAAAAAAACTATCCCGAATCATATAAAACTAGACTAAGAGATCATAATTTCAAATTGTTTCAAAAACTGACCAATTGTTTCGAATTCCTCCAATATCTGAAAAAATTGTGAGGAACGTGCTTGAAACTCTAGACTGTAGCAAAGCAACTGGCCTTGACCAAATAAGTGCTCGTTTCTTAAAACTAAGCTGCCATGTTATCTCGGAAGCCATTTGGTTAAAATAATTAACCTAAGCTATTGATACAGGTAAAATTCCTACTGCATTTAAAATGGCTAAAGTTAATTCCAATCTACAAAAAAGGGTCTAAATTTTGATAAAAATAACTATAGACCAATCTCTGTTTACTGTTTTATCAAAAATCATTGAAAAGCATGTATCTGATAGTCTCAAACAATTTCTTAAGACAATAACCTTTTTCATCAAAAACAATCTGGGTTTTAGAACAAGTCCTCTTTTGTGAAACTGGTCTAACATCCATAGTAGACAACTGGATTGATCAAATCAATAACAACAATCTTGTTGGAAACCAAATATTTCTTTTGACCCCTAACAAAAGCATTTTGATCTAGTTTAACCATACACTATTCATTGCGAAAAACTTAGTTGTTATAACATTCTCAGATCCATACATTACAGTGGGATCCAATCATACCTAACAGAAAGATCTCAGAAGGTATTCTGTGTCAGGCACCAACATCGGAGTCTTTGGGTGTATCAGCTGGGAGTCCCTCAAGGATCTGTCTTAGGGCCCATTTTATTCTTGATCTATATAAATGATTTTACCTTTACATCTTGAACACTCAGAAATGGATATGTTTGCAGATGATGCTACAATAAGTGCTACAGGACGTTCCACTGAAACTTTAAATGTAAAACTTCAAAAAGACCTACACTCTATTCAAGAATGGTGCACTCCAACAGTGCTATGATACCTAATACAGACAAAACTAAAGCTATGTACATATCAGCCTCAAAAAAAGACCCAACATTTACATTCATGCATCAAAAAGTACACCACTTCAATTAAAAATTTAACAATAAATATAGAGTTCACTGAATCTGAAAAGCTTCTTGGAGTACAAGTTGACAATTGCCTAACGATGGAAACTTCAAGTAGAACAAACAATAAAGAAATGCAATAGTAATCTCTATCTTCTTTTTAAGGTTTTAAAACAATATCTCAATTTACATGCCAGGAAACTTTTCTATAATGCCTATATTTTACCTCATATAGACTATTGCTGTTCAATTTGGGGAAATTGCTCAAAAGAACTTCTTGAGAGAATACTTAAATTTCAAAAAAACGAGCAGCTCGCATTATCCTAGATAAAGCTGCAGATGCACCATCTGAACCTCTTTTCAAAGAATTAAGATGGATGAAATTTAATGACAGGGTTGAGTACAAAAAGGCAATCCTGATATACAAATCATTACATGAAGAAAACTCACCATGCTACATGAAAGAAAAATTTCATTTTATCTCAACTTTACATAACAGAAATCTTAGATCAACAAACAATCTTAATCTACATGTCCCTAAACCTAATCTTGAGTTTTACCGTAAATCACTTTCTTATTCTCGAACTAAAATCTGGAATAATATACCACTCTATGTACGTCAGTCTGAAAGTACTGAAAAATTCAAAAAAGCTTACATAAAGTGGAAGTACTCTGGTTTAAACCAGTACCATAGTATTATGTTTGTATAATTATGTTTACTGCAGTTTTCATTGTTAATGGTTAATATTTATGTTTAGTTTGTCATTGCATTTATAACTAGTTAATACCATGTTTTATAATATTACATTGTCTTTTGTATAATTATTTGATGTAAATATGTTGTAAATATTTAGAGGTACATATGGAAGATCGTTTTGGCGAATATGTAGCCTCGTTAAATAAAGCCTTTATTATTATTATTATTATTATTATTAAACTTTGCACACTAATCTTGTTCACCATCATTACCCCAACCTGTAAACAGGAGGAGGTAACTGTATCAAGCATTCTTTTTACAATCAAGCACTAAGAATAGTCGAGCGTTGCTGTCCTACCGACAGCTCTTGTTTACATAAGAGAGCTTAGCCTGGCTAAAGATTTCCATTTTAATGTATCATCAAGAAATTCAAATTATAAGAGTTTTGCTGTATCATTGTTTATATCATAGCCAAGTGCTGTCAAATGTTTATTCAGTTAATTAACATAATCAATCAATAGATAATTAATACAGTGATTATGAATGACCAGACTTTCTAAATCATATCGGAATAATTATGATACAGTTGTGAAATTTGAATGAAGTACCGTAATCTCCCATAAGTGTGCCCTGTTAATAAGAAAGGCATTGTTTTGTAGATGGTTTATTCATCTTATCTAAAGCATGCATTTTGATCACAATTGTACAATTTATCATGGCTGCCTGATAAGCTTAGGAAATGTACCCTTTGTTTCATGGACCTTGTGTTTGCAAGTTTGAATCCCGTCCATGGTAATGTTTCTGGATATGAAATACAGATTTACAGATAATGATTCCTTTCTTTCTGGCCTAGGACATTTTGATTGAAACAACACAGTGACTAATTCTATTTTTCCTACTCAACTGTTTCTTATGTTTTATGTGGAGAAGTTATTTTTTACTTGTGAATGCACACATAATGGGAAGTAGTGGAACAAATTCATGGGGTAGTAACTGTCCTCTAAGGTAGCTTATGGTAGCTGACCACATGTAAATGATTTAAATTTAATTAAAAGTGCTGCTGAACAAAATTTAACAATAAAATAATTCTGGTTATCATATTTTATATTTATCTTTTGGTGAATAAATCTATGATAATTTTAAAGTGTATATAAAACAATCTAAATCAATCATATATCATGTATGTTCTTTATTAGAGGGTATACGGTAAACAAATAATCTTATAAGTACAGTTTAAAATATTTTTTGGAAAAGGAAAGCAGTTGTAAATGCTGAGTCATTATTATAAATTATCATATGAATATCATAAATCTGTTTATTTATGTAATATTTTGCAAGCAGTTTTTACAGTATCACTGGCTAAACCTTGAAAATTTCACCTTTCTTTTTGTCAAAGCACCTTTAAATATAATTGTTTGTTTTATATTTATGATGAGTTATCAATCTGATTTACACACTAACTTATATCAAAACATTATAACCTAGTATCTTCTTTGCTCCCAGGATAGTCTGGAGCAATTTCATCATAACTGTCCTCATTGTGGGCATTTCCTACATGCGGTCTATCACCGTTACTTAATTTTTCACTTTCATTTCGGAATAACGGATTCATCACTTGTTCTCGATCACGGAATTCTGGCGATGCAATAGTCCATGCACTCATTTCTCGTTGCTCTTCCATTTGCTGCTTCGCTAAGTCTCTTGGGCCCATAGTCCAGTGTATATTAACATCATCTTTTCTTTCTGGACCAGGCAGTTCCAAACCTCTTGGATTAGCACCTACAGTTATTGGAATTTCCGTTTTCAATTCTTTCCCGCTGGATAATTCGATTCTAAATTGAAATTTATATGAAAGGTCAATTATATCACAGCCTTCAAGAAATGATTCAGGAACATATGCTGGTATACCTATTCTCACATTTTGCCAGCGTCTCCCGTCTCCATCAATAAGCTCATAGTCATCTCTTCGCTTATTCACTATTTGCTTGTAAGCAATGATGTTTTTCTGAGCGCGATATGTGCTTTCCATCAATAGTCCTGCCTGTATAGCTGTGATTCGTAATGGACTATGGTTTTGTACTTCAGCTTGTAAACAAATATCTTCACCAGGAACAAATCCTGTCCTGTTTAAATGAATATCTGCATTCACTTTACCCCATGAACACATTGAAAAATAAGTTTTTGCTAGTTTTGTTTTTAAAGGCTCTGATAATTCATCTGGTAATAAGTATTTACGCATAACAAGAAAAGGTTCGGTAGCTATGGTGGTGTCACCTTGCCGCTCACCTTGGACGATAGCTTTAAGAATGTATGTTACGCTGCCAAATTTCCCAATGAAAGACGACGGTACATTGTCTGGTAGTCTGTATTCAAATGGAAACTGATGGAATCCCTTTTCCAAATATCTGGCTAAACCTTCTGCATCAAATATTGCCTACAAAATTCAATACAATGCTTTATAATGTATTCATTTAGGAAAAAAAATGTTTACCATTGATCTTTACAATTGAAGATGTAAATTGTTCCCTCCAAAAACATTACATGAAATTTCAATACTCACAAATTCAAACATTTCATACATGTACTTTGATTGGATGATTTAAAAAATTGAAAATGATCTTTGTTATCTATAATATGATTGGCTGGTAACAATCAGACTGTATTACCTGTGAGGCATCAATGTAGATTTCTTTAGATTCCAATGCTCCTACATATTCCTCTTCCCAGGCACATATACCCTCACCTGTTATTGTCAGGTACACAGACTCTACTAGTGTACTCCTGTGTAAATGGATGACTGAAATAATAAACACAACTTCTTTTTACTTTATTGTTTTCATTGGAGTCATCCCAGAGTTTTCATAAGAATCATCCTGGATAGCATATAATTATGTCATCTGATCAAGCTAAAGTATTGATAAATAATGGCAGATTAATGTAAAAATTTTGATGATGAAATCTCTAAAACTTCTAATAGTCTGAGTGTTTTGAATTCAAAGCAAAACAAGTCCTGTACAAAAATTCAGGAAGTTCAGTTACAAATTACATATTAAATATTAATTTTTTAATACTTAGTAATTTATAAGCTAAAAAAAATATTGTTTCTATATAATGAAGTCATTTTGCCTGTGTTATTTTTAAATTTTTACCACCCTATATATTAATGTTTTTGGGTTAATTGAATTTATAATGTTTAAGTGCAAAACATTTACCAATTTTTCCATGAATAATTAATTATTGTAAGTGTAAAACATTTTCCAATTATTCCATGAATATTATAAGTAATTATTGTAAGTGTTTAACATTTACCAATTTTTCCTCGAATGATCTCGCCTGGTTGGTACTGATATTGTTCATCAATGTCGTGTTCAAGGTTAATGGTAACACTCTCAAATGGAGACTGCTTTGCTACGGCCATATTGTATATATCACTTGTACTTAATCCTTAACACCATGTGTTGAAACTGTATTACAGTAGGTGTTTAAACTATCTCACAACATGTGTTTAAACTATCTCACAACACAAGTTTTAACTGTAAAATAACATCTGTTTTAACTGTTACACAACCTGTGTTTAACTGTATGTGTGTTTAAAACTGTATGTGTGTTTAAAATGTCCCACAACAAGTGTTTAAATTACATGGCAACACGTGTTTAAACTATCTCATCAGTGTTTTACTGTTTATACTGTCTCATAGCACAATCATGTCCAAAGTAGCTCCATATAATTGCTTTAGGATGTTTGATCAGCACATGTATTATTTGACAGTCTTTTCCGTTCCCTGCATCAGCTGTTTCTAGAAAATCCTGAAATATTAATTTACCATACTTTGATTGTTATTTATGTAAAAATATTTTTCAAAAAAAAAAAAATTAAATTAAATATGATGTAGATCTAAAAAAAAAAAAAAAAAAAGAGAGAAAACTATGGAGTAGCATTTCAATTTGGTGAATTATACTCTTTTTTTCAAAATATATATATAGAAGATGAATCTATTTTAAGAATGTCTAGGTAAAAAAAATATTCAAATAGTTATATGTGTATATAATTAAAGGTTGTCATTTTCTTACTGATTGTATAGATAACATACCAAACTGATCAAGTCATTTACTTGAGGAAAGTGTTAAAGTAGTATCAAGATTATCAATGTAGCACTATCATAATACAATAGGTAAAATGTCAGTGAAACGATGTACCCCAAATTATTGTAATGACTTGCTATAACAACACCCTAAGGGATGAATGCACGGGTACTTATTTTCTTAATGTTAATTTAAGATCAGGTGAATGGTTACAAATTTTCTGTTAATAATGGTGTTCATAACTTCCTAGCCAACATATTTGTTCATGAATAAGTAATTCCTTGAAGATGTTAATGATCTCTTATCTGTAAAAGGAAGAATCAATACTCAAGTTTTTTTTGTACCAGATTTGTTTCATTTTTTTCTCCCAGGTTTTGTTAGTTTTAAATCATTATTGTCATAAATTTGATGTAAATTTATTGTTATGCTTTACACAAGATGAAGATTATAAATGAACATAATTATATATACAAAGCTTTGTCTGATTTTGCCCAAATTTATCTATAAATTTGTCACATTCTATGTTTGTGTAATGTTTAATTAAACCTGAGAACCTGGCAAAAGTAATGTGGGAGCAAATAAATTTATTTAATATTTGGGTCTTTTCATGCAATGTTTGTCTAGGGTGTCAGTCTTAAAGGACGTGCTGTTTTACGTAAAAGTTTAACAATATTATGTTTAATATGAAATATCTTTATTCTGACAGTGTTAGATAAATAATGGGGGAAAAAGATGTATAAATTTTGTAACCACAGGGCGTGTCAAAACAATTATGTAAATTCAGTTTGTAGTATTAACATAACAGATTATAAGGATGATAAATTTACCATTTATTATAAAATATCAGTTAAATAAGACATCAAATAGTTTTGCTTAATTAATCTTATCCTTTTATATAGATATAAGACAATATTTGGGAAGGGGTGGGGGTTTGACAGACCTGCCTGAGTGTCAACTATTGCCAAAAATCATTTGAGACTTTTAAGTTTTAATATTTGGAAAAAATTGATTTTTTTTCTTTCACTTTTTGGCAATTTAGTTTACAAAATATTAATTTTTCCCAATCACATTCCATATTGAAATTGATTTTGAATTGAGTTTCCACAGTGATTGAACAGTTAAACTGTATAATATGTAAATTCACAATTGTATGACTAGATTAGGATAATTGTGGTTAGATATAACGTCTAAATCAATTCTGTAAAAACATCACATAAACGTCACATGACAGCTTAACGACAAGGAAGTGCTTCTCATATCACAAAAAATTGAAAATATTAACACACACTTTCTCAAAAACACCGATCTCAAATTTTATCGCCTAGGTATTATATACTATAAAAAGCCATGTGTGTAAAATATTTAGATATAAGTATACGTGGCCATAGTGTAATGATTTATATATTTAACGCATGAAAGAATTCAAACTTGGGTAACACCTATGTACCCGTTTTTATAAAGTCACGATTTAAAGAACTCTACGGCAGGTCAAACAAAGTTGATATTTGAATAAAGTCTCAGTATGTATTTTGTAAACACATCACTTCAATAGTTTAGTTATATACAAGATAAAGACAGAGTGTACCCTGTATTTTTTTCACATATTGCAAAAAATGACTGGCTAGACCTTACTTTTATAATATTTAAATTCCCCCTCCCCCCACACCTTAAAGTATTTTCTTTCAGATAGCACTTTGTGTACATAGAAATGCCATTAACCAAAATCCAGACTAGGGTTTGAGCCGTTAACAACATTTCTGACCTTTGAAATAGACAGTCAAGTTGGCAAGTTGCTGCATAATAGTGGAAATTTAAGCATACATCTTAATGTCTGCTGTCATTGTAGTGCTTCAAAGAGACATGGGCAATTCTTGCAGCAAAGTCTGTTAACTGTATCTGATGTATGCATGTAGCTCTTTCTTCAGACAGAATGAACATATAATTATATGTACAAATTTTCCAGCTTGTCAAAATAAATGTAGATATTATGTTATTGATTTGTATACTGTTATCATATCAGTATTATATTGATTGTTATTTATAATATAAACAAATCACTTGTCATCCATTATTTCTATTTGACCACCATAAATGTCTTTATATAGGAATAGAATGGGAGATGTTAACCTGGTGTGGCCACTCTATAATATGACTGCTCAATACAATAATTGATTAATAGCTTTTTCTGTCATAATGTTTTGTTTTTTTTTCTTCTGTATAACTGACCTCATTTTATTTGTTAATAAAAACAACAAACAATAATGGGTTCAAAGGTTTTAGAATTGTCTTAAAAGTAAAATTTTGGCTTAAAAGTTTCATTGCTTGGCTTAAAAGTCACAATTCTAATTGGTTTATCAAAAGTTTTAGACTTGACATAAAAGTGAGCAATCTGATTGGCTTAAATATTTGAGATTTTAACTTAAAAGGCTGCAATCTGATTGGTTCTAAAGTTTCAGACTTCTCTTTAAGACTAAACTCTGATTCGCCATTTCAGAATAATGCAATTGTTTTTTTGTAGCCAAAGGAAAGATTTGATGATGAAATATTTCATCTGCAATAATCAGAGCATCTGGTTATTTTTTGACATACTTATTAAATTATAAATTTAAGATGGTAAATTAATTTGTAGCATTTGATTTAAGGTAAATCTGGTGATAATTTTTTTCAAATTGTAAAATTTCAGTGGAAAGTAGATATAACTTTTTTTTCCAATCATAAAATCTCATTCCAAACAAAATATACATGTATAAATATATGAACGTAAGAAGATAATCTTATCTATTTTAACTGTCTATATTGTGTTGAAAAACAAGCTTATGTCAGTTAAAAGGAAGTATAGGTATTGATTTGTCTAAATCGATTGTCACATAAACATTGTATTCAGGTATTGAAATGACATACCAAAGTCCAAATAATTGTATGTATTTAGACAACGCAATTAAAGTTTAGTGTTTCATAATAGATAGCTTACTGCCCTGAAATGCCAAATTAGGAATGTACAATCACTGTATTTTGACTACATTGTAGTTATATTCTGAATTTTTTCAGGTAAATTAAAAAGAATCAAAATCAAAGTGCTTGTGCAATGCACTGGTAAAGTTTTTCACAAATTTTCCAAATGTACAAACAATTTTAATATACAAATGTATGAAAAGTAATTCAAATAAGAATTGCTGATATCTTTTTGTTCTAAATGATACCGAGTCTCGAACAATCAATAAAGGTTCTGACTGTGGGGATATATTAAGAAGTAAAATTTTATCCACACCTTTCACTAAAAATTTTTAAGATCCTGTTCTATTTACCGGGTATATAGACTGGATTTGCTTTAAATAACTCCCGTTACAATATTAGTCCATACCCTAGTTGCCTCGGCAAAATTCCTATACCTATAATTAATCCAAAGAAATAAATATCTTCATTTCCCAATCAAATAAGACTAGAATAAATTTTTAATCTCCACTTTTACAACACTTACATGAAATAATTCCAATAGTTTAGTCTGGTAAATCAATATTCGAACTTTTTCTACCAGTATGTACGATTCAAAAACAAGTACACTGTTATACTACAACACAGCAGGATTTTCCTATTGATAAAACCTGTTTTAAGTGATCGCCCAAGCATACTGTCGTCAGGATAATCAAAACTACCTGTTTAAGGCCAAATATAAATACCTTATATGGTTTATGATAAAATCTTACAACAGGTTACAAGTTTAAAACTGCTAACTGTGGAGCGTTTCAATAACTTTATTATTATTATTGCATATTATTGCATATAGAATAAAGATATTTTGTTGTTGGTTTTTCGTTGGTGCAAATTTCTTTATCATTATGAAGTCATTTTCTTTAAGCTTAGAAATTATATACACTGTTAGAATTTGGGAAAAAAAACAACAGAGAAATTTTGAGTCACCTATAGAAACAACAGAACAATGAGCAATAATTCTTTCAAAACCTTTGTATTATAATTTTCTATTAAACGTTAATGTACATGACATCTAATTTTTTGGGATTCCATTATGAATGATAAAACTTTTTTAAAGAACAATATTTTATGTCTTCAAAACAGCTAGCTGTAAGGACTGAAAGTAGGTTTTCAGCATAGATTGTTTGATTTTATAAACAAACATGGTTTTAATGAAATTAAAAGATAGGAAAAAAAAACTTCTGATTTTTCATTCTAGTAGACTTACACATTATGAGGAGAAGCAACTATGTTATTTATATTTTCAATATCCTGATGAATTATTCTGACAATGGTAAAATGATGAAAATTTCTTTGGCCTTAAATGGATTCTTTCACATATGACAGGTCTATTCATGCAATCATGCATGTCGGTTATGAAACTTAAGAAGATGAAGGCCAAACTTATTTAATATTGTGTTATTGAGAGATTATTATTTTAAATCTGCAGTAAGACTACCGGTAATATTGTTAATTATACAAGAAATTTCAGTATTTAAGGCGCATTGAAAGACCTGCATACAATTAGTATGTTGTTTATTTGTTGTTGTTGTTTTTTTAACAGCAGCTATTATTTTTAGGGGTATCCATATTTCAATCACAGGAATTAATTTTTTTTTTCCCAAAAAGAAATTTGATGTTATTTGATATAAAAAACAACAAACAAAAAACACACAAATAAAGTTGGATTGTTATCAAGAAAAAGTATTTTTATCAGGGTTTTACAATATTTGTACAGTCTTATAACAGTATGTAAAAGAGTAGTTAATAAATCAGAGTTTGATCAGATTAAATCTATCGATTGCTCTGACAGTACACATTTGATTGATACTTGTACAACATTCCTGATGAGAATCATGTAATATTTGAATATGTAATGAAACTTAGGAAAAGTTTAATGGGTAAACTTCTTATGTCTTATAAGTTTTTTTATGTGAAATTTGCTTCCTGTTACATTACTGTTATTGTATCACAAACTTGTCATTCTTTAAATATGAAACTTTCTGTTGTTTAGTTAAAAGATTTTTATGAATTCTGAAATTAAAATAATAAAATTGAGTGGCCAACAATCAGACGGGAAAATTTTAAGAATTGGTTTGTTAACACAGACTTGTACCTGTATTCAAATGTGACACATATGATGGGAATCATTTGGATTGAGGGTAACTGTTTAAAATGGTAATTTACATGGTCCTGCAGGGTTTCCACGAAACAGTTAAAGTCTGCTTCTGGTCTGCACTGTTCACTACTCATTCAATACATCGTAACTATTTTATTGTTTACTTTAAATTTCAGGCGACTGACGTTCCATCAGCTATCAGTGAGGTGTTACAGACCAGTAAAGGTACGACATTCTATGTGCTGACTGTAGCCGGAGAACATGGTATACCTCCGGAAAAATCTCCAGCTAAACAGACAGAAAAGCCAGATGATGAGGGAACCAGCGCCTTCCTGACAGAGGTCTCAAATGTATCTGGTGAGCCGGACAACAGACCAGAATACATCAAAAATATTGATCTTCCAGAGTCTATCCTTATTGATGTTAGAAAGATGTAAGTCTTTTTACTTTGGATTTTTTTTCTGCTCATTTTGTATTATAAATACTGGAATATATTTATCAAAATAGATAGTTCATTTTGTATTACTAAAAACTGGAATATTTTTATCGAAAAATATAGTTAGCAGTGCTGTATAAATTAATGTGGGTTCAAATCCTGCTCATAATTTTGAGGAAGCTATCCAGCTAGCCTATGGAATGTTAGTGGTTCTACTCATACCTGAAAAAGGTGGAAAGGTCACCATATGACATAAACAATGTTGATATGTCTTTTACCCAACCCCCCTACAGCCCCCAACAAAAAAACAAAACAAAAATAAATGAATAAAAAAAAGATAAAAAATAAAAATATAAAACATTTAAAACATTTATCTTTCAGAATACGTATGAATTTCCTGAATCACCTGGAGGACTGGACAGAACAAGCATCTGAAAGAGCTAGCAGTGTTGTTGTTGCCAAGGTAGACTATATCAGAGATTTAAAGATTTACAATAAAAAACTAATTTTAGCTACTGAAGCAGTATAAAATAATTTGGACCTTTTGTCCGTGATTTAAAATCTGTATCACTCTTTAATTATTATCATGCTGAATTATTATCATGGTAAACATGTGTATATCATTTGTTATTAATAAGTGAACATCAATGAAAAGAAAGATCTGTTTTGTCTTTATGACTTTAGAGTCTAATTTATAATTATACATAAATATTATTATTATTTAGTGCATAATATATAGAAATGTGTGGAATTTCTCACGTCTCAGTTTATTATCTATATATTCACCAGTGTGAGGAGTTAAACAGTGAACTTGACCTGCGACTTCATCTACATAAACCACGATCCCGTAGAGCGGAATATGACGTTCACAACGTGAGAGCAGGTAACAGATTATAACATCTAGCATAACATTATGTTAGGACGTAAACAGGATATAATGTTTTTACTATTATTTATAGCTGTAATTTCTATACTTAAATTCAAAACTTCTTCCCTGGTTATGTATCAAATTTAATTGATGGTAATCTTCCAACATCATTTTAGCCTTCTTGATGTCTATAGTTCTATAAAGCTATCTTAATTAGTCTTTGAAAGTAAGATTGAAAAGAGGAATTAACAATATAACAATTAGGCTAAATACAGTATGTTGCATAGCTTGAGATAATTGTTTGAGCTTAAATGGCCTGCAATTGTTCTTCCAGTAAGCTAGGGAAAAAATTTGCAAGAGTAAATTTCCACCTAAATATTATTTTATGGGGTAAGTTGAGATATCATTAAATTGGATAAATATTGTTTTCGTGCAGATTACCTGTCTCTGTGTAGGCATGGTAACATGGAAATATGTCATTGACCTCAAAAAATGACCTTGGCACTCAAGGTCAAAAGTTCTATGTGAAGGGTAAAGGAGCATTAATTTTGTATGTGTGTGGGTTTTTTTTTTTATTTAAGTTTTGGCATAAAGATTTTGGTTCAATATGAAACATTTATTTTGCAGCTGAACTGGTGATGCATTCTGAGAGAGTCACTCGTCACTGTAAGGGTATACAACAGGCCTTGACTGAAGTGCGTAACAGGTTCACTAACATGACCAATGAACACAATAATCTTGCAGCCAAATTTAGACAGGACATAGAGGCACTGGAAGTGGTCTTTATTAATGCAACAAAAGCTGCAAAGTATGTTCCTTATGATACTGCATGTATCACTATCAATCTTTTTCTTTTTTTTGAATTTTCAAGAAGAAAGTCTTAAGTCACTGATAGATTTCTAAAGAAATTTATTTAAAAAGAAACTTAAGGATTTAGCAGTTGATTCTATTATGAACAAACTTAGCTAAAGAAAAGCCCTGATTGCATTGAATAGGTGGAACTTTTTTTCTTTTTTTTTTTTTTTTTGAAAGAATGTATAAACTTGTAGTGACTATAGTGAACCCTAGGTTTTGCATATTTTGTTATGTCCAATAAGTTTTTGTTTTTTTCACAATGGTTTATGTCAAACAGTAACATGAATGGTTTTTTATAATTGTTAAAAAGCAACAGAATTATGAATATGTATACCCATAAAAATACTTTATATTTCACAGGCTTTACAGTTTGAAAAATCAGTTGAATGTAGAGTTGGACAAGTTTATGTCTGTGATCCGAGCCTCACTGAGACAGTTCAGACAACATTTAGATGAGACACTACAGATGCTGAGAGAATCTAATGCTAGATTTATTAAATCCTTCAAGTAAGTTTTACAGTTAGAGAATCTAATGCTAGATATATTAAATCCTTCAAGTAAGTTTCACAATTAGAGAATCTAATGCTAGATTTATTAAATCCTTCAAGTAAGTTTCACAATTAGAGAATCCAATGCTAGATTTATTAAATCCTTCAAGTAAGTTTCACAATTAGAGAATCTAATGCTAGATTTATTAAATCCTTCAAGTAAGTTTCACAATTAGAGAATCCAATGCTAGATTTATTAAATCCTTCAAGTAAGTTTCACAATTAGAGAATCCAATGCTAGATTTATCAAATCCTTCAAGTAAGTTTCACAATTAGAGAATCCAATGCTAGATTTATCAAATCCTTCAAGTAAGTTTCACAATTAGAGAATCTAATGCTAGATTTATTAAATCCTTCAAGTAAGTTTCACAATTAGAGAATCTAATGCTAGATTTATTAAATCCTTCAAGTAAGTTTCACAATTAGAGAATCTAATGCTAGATTTATTAAATCCTTCAAATAAGTTTCACAATTAGAGAATCCAATGCTAGATTTATCAAATCCTTCAAATAAGTTTCACAATTAGAGAATCCAATGCTAGATTTATTAAATCCTTCAAGTAAGTTTCACAATTAGAGAATCTAATGCTAAATTTATCAAATCCTTCAAGTAAGTTTCAGATTTAGAGAATATAATTGTAATCTCAGTTACAGCTTTAAATTAATATCAAAGCTTATTCCTAGACAGTGTAACTGCTTTAGTTAAAAACCCATTTGTATTGATAAAATTGAATTAAAATCTGTGTTGCTAATTAAGGAATGTTTAGTTTATATGGATTTGCATTATGCATTATGCCTATACAGTGTATAATATGTAAATAAAATCTTTAGAAATTGAATATTTGTAAGGTTTAATAAATTTCTTAAAGATGTTATTTCTGTTACATGTCTGAAGTAAAATGAAAGGACATGCGGCAAATTACAGAAGTTTATTAATAATATAGTCTGTAGAATGTAATTGCATTATTATGTTTCATTTATTAGAGTCTTCAGTGATGGAGGTAATTTTTGTCCAGAGGAGATTGAAGAGTATCGTAAGAGACTGGATAAAATGGCGGGAAATATTGACAAGTCTGAGGGTGCTGTAATGTCTGATCTAGAGGACATGGAATCTAAGAGATTGGAACAAGCTACTAAAGTTGCTATGGAGTTTGAAGACAGGTTTGTGTTCATGTTTTATGTAACACACATTTGTAGAGGAATTTTTAGACTTTCAACCTATATTATCATTGAAAACAGGTTTAATAATCCCCTATCCTGCTGAATTTGTACAATGGCATTGCCCTGCATTAATTTTCGTAAATTTCATTTGTAATTTTAGGGTTTTCTGAATAAAATCTTTAAATTGAGTAGTCTACAGTAAAATAGACTCAATCAAATAACATGCAATGAGTCTTTCTTAGCTACATACTGATTGATAGTTGACTTGATGGGATAAAAAATATCATCTTTCATTGTTTTAAACATCAGAAGACAATAAAAAAGAAATTACCAAAATAACTTATGACAATGTAAGATCAAATGGCATAATTCTGGTCTATGTGTCACATATTGATGTGCCTATAGTGTAACGCTAACATAATAAAAAATCACCATTTAAATAAATCTAACTTTCAGATTCAAGAGTCATATGTTTGACTTGATATTCATGGAGAAGATTGCCCGCTGGTTGACCAACACCCAAGTGAAGATCAAAGCTGAGGTTGCCAATAGTAACAGTCAGGCTCAAAAGCTTTCACAGCATCTGAATGACATAGAGCGAAGAATAGACGCTTGTGAACGGCCAAATCTTGATAAAGAGGTATGAAATGAACTCTATTTTTGTGTGGGATTTGATTTCAGGTTTGTCGCTCATCCACTTCCTGTTTACAGACTTACTTAAATTTTCAATATTAATGGTCAAAGGTAGTAAATTTTCTTCACATTTTTCTCAGGAACTACTTATTATAACCTCTCGATATTAGGTATACAGCATTAACTTATGTTCCCATACCATGGAATTCAATTTCAAGTCTGTCACTCATCTACATCCTGTTTACCGACTAAGTTAAATTTTCCACATTAATGGTCAACATGACAGCCTCATGATATTTGGATATATATGCAACCCAGCGATTTCTGTCTTTGACCCATTTTCTTTTATTTTACAGCAAATTACTGCTGAACAGCTGAATGCAAGTTTGAAGGGTATTTTCGAATCATTTCAAACTAGAAGTGAATACTTAAACTGCCTGAAAGATCCATCAATGAGGCCACCTTCAGGAGCTATGCAAGGTGCACCAGCTGTAGGTAAGGGACACATTTCCCTGTTTGTCCATCTCTGAGAAGGCACATGGTCATTTTTAGCTCACCTGTCACAAAGTGACAGGGTGAGCTTTTGTGATCGCTTTTCGTCCGGCGTCCGTCCGGCGTCCGTCCGTCCGTCGTCCGTCCGTCCGTAAACTTTTACTTTAAATGACATCTCCTCATAAACCACTAAGCCAATTTCATCCAAACTTCACAGGAATGTTCCTTTGGTGGTCACCTTTAAAAATTGTTCAAAGAATTTAATTCCATGCAGAACTCTGGTTGCCATGGCAACCGAAAGAAAAAACTTTAAATATCTTCTTTTAAAAAACCATAAGAGCTAGAGCTTAGATATTTGGCATGAAACATCTTCTAGTGAGTGTCTACCAAGTTTGTTCAAATAAAAGCCCTGGGGTCAAAATTGGCCCCGCCCCAGGGGGTCATTGATTTTCCCTATATGCATATAGTAAAAAACTTAAAAAAATCTTCTTTTAAAGAACCCAAAGAGCTAGAGCTAAGATATTTAGCATGAAACATGTTCTAATGGGTGTCTACCAAGTTTGTTCAAATAAAAGCCCTGGGGTCAAAATTGGCCCCGCCCCAGGGGGTCATTGATTTTCCCTATATGCATATAGTAAAAAATTAAAAATTCTTCTTTTAAAGAACTCAAAGAGCTATGGCTAAGATATTTAGCATCAATCATGTTCTAATAGGTGTCTACCAAGTTTGTTCAAATAAAAGCCCTGGGGTCAAAATTGGCCCCGCCCCCAGGGGGTCATTGATTTTCCCTATATGCATATATTAAAAACTTTAAAATCTTCTTTTAAAGAACCCAAAGAGTTAGAGCTAAGATATTTAGCATGAAACATGTTCTAATAAGTGTCTACAAAGTTTGTTCAAATAAAAGCCCTGGGGTCAAAATTGGCCCCGCCCCAGGGGGTCATTGATTTTCCCTATATGCATATAGTAAAAACTTAAAAATTCTTCTTTTAAAGAACCCAAAGAGCTAGAGCTAAGATATTTAGCATGAAACATGTTCTAATGGGTGTCTACCAAGTTTGTTCAAATAAAAGCCCTGGGGTCAAAATTGGCCCCGCCCCAGGGGTGTCATTGTTTTTAACTATATGTTTATAGTAAAAACTTTAAAAAAATCTTCTTTTAAAAAGCCCAATGAGCTAGAGCTTAGATGTTTAGCATGAAAAATCTTCTTATGGGTGTCAACCAAGTTTGTGCAAATAAAAGCCCTTGGGTTAAAATTGGCCCTGCAACGTTGTGGGGGGTTGGGGAGGGATGGGGGGGCCTATATACAGGTGAGCGACCTCAGGGCCATCATGGCCCTCTTGTTACAATGTTAATGCACATTATTATCATCTAATGACCGTTCTTAAGACTAACAGATACCTACCAATATCAATTATTTTTAGCTCAACTTTTCGAATGATAGGGAGAGCTATTGTACTCACCCAGGAGTCAGCATTTTTGCATGCAAGTTGGTATCTCCAAAACTACTGAAGGGAATGAGTTAAAACTTCACAAACTTATTTGAAAGCATAATGAGTCACTGTTCAATGCTCATAACTCTTACTTGGATTTTGACAGAACTATGGCCCTTTTGAACTTCAACATTATTCAGCTCTTGTTTTATCAGGCACTGCGAAAAGTTGAGCATGCTGTCCTACTGACAACTCTTGTTATGGATCTATTTTAAAGACATGTCTGTTGACCTTCTCATATAAATATTTTTGTTCTGTATTAATTAACAGGTGTAAGAGTGGGTTTCGTTCAGGATGTAGGACCAACACCAATAAGTAAAGCCGGGAAACAACCCTCTGAAGACCCTTCTGTAGGGGTGATTAAGGGAATCATGAAGTAAGTGCCTTTGAACTGTTAAGTTTGCTTTAAAATTTTGCTATCTAGCTTTACTTGGTTAATATATTGTTTTTAGTTTATTAAAAATTTTAATTGCAATGCTATTGAATATGGTTATATGATTCTTGGTGAAGATGTTACTTAAAATACAAAAACAAAAAAGTGCAGCTCAATAAGTAATTGCGTTTGTTGGTTGTATTACCTTTGTTCATTGCCAGCTTGTAGTATTTCAGGATATAATTGTGATGATAAGTAATATTATCAATTTCATTACAGATCCAACAAGAGCAAGCTGAGGTTTGGACTGGATGCTGATCTAGATGGTGAATTTACTCAATGTTAGTGTTGTACTTCACCTTGTTGTCAATATTTTATTTATAACATTGGTGACCAGTCTATGAAATGACTCTTAATTGGAATCAACCAATCAAACACAAGAGTTAAAGACTCAGGTCCCAAGTTTTTAAGTTTTATGACTTTCGTAACCTGTTCACTCATAACTTTCCTTTTTTACTCACAAAACCTCACTCTATGTTGTACTGCCATACATTTATGTTGTAAAGAAAGCCTTTTTTCTGTGTATCTACCTTTTTTCCAACATCAAACCAGTGTATTTTGTAAGACTCAAAGGAAGCAAAAAAAAACAACAACAAAAAAACCTCCATTTCTCAACTCTTGCATTTTCAGACTAGTTTGATGAAATAAATGTTTTACAATATAATATTTTCCATTGTTATAAAAAAAATTAAGTAAAAGCATTAGATTTATCCTGTAACATGATATCATCTTGCTATCTTGATTCATAAAGTCTACAAAGTTTAAATATTCACAGATCAAAGTAAATTCACAATGAAATCTTTGAATTATCATAAAATCTACAAAGTTGAAATATCCAGAAATAAAAGTAAAGTCACAACAATATGTTGAATTATTATAATATGTTTTCAGCTAATGAACTGAGAGAAAAGGTGAAGTCTTCAATGTCTACCAACACATCTTCTGATCGTGGTAAAGCTGTACAGAGTCGGCATGGTCAGTCACCGGCATCTGGCGTAGAAAGTAATTCTAGAAAGGTCCAGTCGGCTGTGTAAGTAATATCCAGTCTGAATTTGAATACCTTCACATATTTATATTTATACATATATATGCATAGACAATAGTTATTATGTAGCAACGATATATACTTAGAGTAGAATAAATTTGACTATACATTCTTAGATAGTTTAATATTCTTCCTTTTCTTTGTTTAGTTGACTATTCCATACAAGATGTGAGAAAAGGATTTGGTCATTAATGGATTTGAATTCTTTTACATTATATGGTTTATTTTCATTTTATTCACTTTTATATTAAATTAAGAATTAAACTTTATTATAAGCACAATGCAATTATAGAGATCAAACTCCTGAGGAAAATTTGACACCTACATCTAAGCAAACATCATCCAATAAGATACCACCAAAAAGACACCCATCTGAATCTCTATCTAAACCCGAGATTGTCACAGGAATTGATGGCAATGAAATTTATGATGATGATGATGAAGAGTAATTATGTGGTTGTTGTAAATTTTGAACTCATCACTGATGACTTTGACTCTTGACTAGTTGACTGTGAGTTATAGTCAATGACAGACAGATATGGCCTTACTAAATGGCTTGTGAGCCCACTGACTGACATGCTACTAAATGACTTACAAAAGCAGTCACTGACTGATTACAGTAGTCACTGACTGACCAGAGTAGTCACTGACTGACCAGAGTAGTAACTGACTAACCAAAGTAGTAACTGACTGACCAAAGTAGTAACTGACTGACCAGTGACTACTTGACCAGAGTAGTCACTGACTGACCAGAGTAGTAACTGACTGACCAAAGTAGTAACAGACTGACCAAAGTAGTAACTGACTGACCAGAGTAGTCACTGACTGACCAGAGTAGTCACTGACTGACAAGAGTAGTAACTGACTGACCAAAGTAGTAACTGACTGACCATAGTAGTAACAGACTGACCAGGGTAGTAACTGACTGACTAGAGTAGTCACTGACTGTCAGGAGTAGTCACTGACTGACCAGAGTAGTAACTGACTGACCAGAGTAGTAACTGACTGACCAAAGTAGTAACTGACTGACTAGAGTAGTCACTGACTGACAGGAGTAGTAACTGACTGACCAGAGTAGTCACTGAATTACCAGAGTAGTCACTGACTGACCAGGGTAGTAACTGACTGACTAGAGTAGTCACTGACTGTCAGGAGTAGTCACTGACTGACCAGAGTAGTAACTGACTGACCAGAGTAGTAACTGACTGACCAAAGTAGTAACTGACTGACAGGAGTAGTCACTGACTGACAGGAGTAGTAACTGACTGACCAGAGTAGTCACTGAATTACCAGAGTTGTCACTGGCTGACCAGAGCAGTCACTGACTGACCAGAGAAGTCACTGACTGACCAGAGAAGTCACTGACTGACAGGAGTAGTCACTGACTGACAGGAGTAGTAACTGACTGACCAGAGTAGTCACTGAATTACCAGAGTTGTCACTGGCTGACCAGAGCAGTCACTGACTGACCAGAGAAGTCACTGACTGACCAGAGAAGTCACTGACTGACCAGAGTAGTCACTGACTGACCAGAGCAGTGTAACCAGATTTGTCACTGGCTGACCAAAGTAGTCACTGACTGACCAGAGAAGTCACTGACTGACCAGGGTAGTCACTGACTGACCAGAGCAGTGTAACCAGAGTAGTCACTGACTTACCAGAGTAGTCACTGACTGACCAGAGAAGTCACTGACTGACCAGAGAAGTCACTGACTGACCAGAGAAGTCACTGACTGACCAGGGTAGTCACTGACTGACCAGAGCAGTGTAACCAGAGTAGTCACTGGCTTACCAGAGTAGTCACTGACTGACCAGAGAAGTCACTGACTGACCAGAGCAGTGTAACCAGAGTAGTCACCGAATGACTGCAAATGATAGCAGACCTAATTAGAACAAATTAGAACAGCCACTGCCTGACATGTGTAAATAGTTGTTTCACAAGTTTGTTGTAAGATTGTTATTGTGCATGTCTTGAACTTTGTCTTTAACTATTAAAAAGTCTTAAAAGTTATAAGGGCCCTAATCTTTTTCTGACATAACTGGAGAAGCATTATGAATGTTTTTTTCTCCTGAATATTTTATATAATTGATTTCATATCAAGTGCATACCAAGTGGTATTTTATATATTATTTGATGTCTTTACCACTAAGATGACATTTTTAGAATGCAAAATAATGTATATTTGAACGATTTTAAGAAAGAAAGAAAAAAAAAATGTTGAACTTTCCTTTATTATTAAGGTGTCATATATGTAAAAACTTAGCTTTTAATTAAAATGAATTAGATTCACCAATAAATAGAGATTGTAACATATTTATATGGAATTCCCTTATGCTTATGATGGACTACTTTAAATTTAAAGGAGCTCCACTGATGTCTAGAGGCTTAAAGCAAAAACATTCAAATTCATACATAGATCAACTGGTGCAATTAGAACAGAACACTGTAAAACAACAATAAAGAAATATACCGCTCTTCCAAATTGAAAATCATTTTTTTTAGTTATTTTACACTATTCAAATGATTATTCTGGGAATGTAGAGTGAGGGAATGATATGAAATTTTGCATGTAAGTTTTTGGTCCAGACCTATTTCAAATGATACAAATTGTTTGAAAAACTATTTCCAGTCTCATCACGTAAAAAAATAACCTCAGTGGAGTTTTTTTAAAGAAGGATAAGTTCAATACACTTATGAATAAATGAACGCTACATGTGATGATGTTTTAGAGCTCTATTAAATAAAACAGCACTAAGTAAGATATTTTGACACTTTTCTATGGTTATCTGTCACTGAAAGACACAACTTTTTCCTCTTTCTCTTTATATTTATTGTGTTGTTCTAGTACTGCTTTTATAAAATTCATTAAACATGTTGTATTCAACATTTCTTGTAAGTTTATATGTTAAACTTGTTTGAAACAATTCCTTGTAGTGCTTCAAGCTCTTCCAGAAATGATTGGTAAGTGCCTCACAAGATGCTATGGTTTGTTTTTGAAATGTTTTATAAATGGGAAAGTTTTCCAGATTGAATTACTTATATGCTAACATTTCCTTTGTCTGAAGTTTTGTTTTGTTAACAAGTTCTTGCCTTAATCTCTTGCCACATGTCAGCTTACGATGCCTGGCTACTGACTCTTGTTATTTTGAATATAATATTTTTTATATATCACATATGTGTAATGTGACACTAACAGTGCCCACAAAATGACCCGAGGGCCAACTCCTAGTCAACATAATGTTTACCATCAATGTGTGTGATAAAACAGCAATCTACATTTATAAAAAGTTCAAAAAATAGAAAAAATATGTTGTACTTATATAACTGTCTATATCTTAAAGAATCTTCTGTACATAGAACTGTCTAGGACACAAAGATTTTTCTCTACCAGTTTACTTTAATAGAAATAATACAGATAATAATTTCTGCTATTTAAGTAGGAACATATTTCCAGCCTACCTCTATTCCAATGCTTATTATTTAGAATAATATGTAAAATGAGGATCTGTAGTTTTTGTAACAATTGACTAAATAGATAATTAATTGAGGGTCAATTTTATCTCTTTCAAAATTGGTGCCTGCCTTAATGCCATCTGTATAAAGCCAGTCTAGGCTGCACCTTTCTGCTGTCTCTGAATTAAGATTCTTTACTGTATGTATTCAATTTTGGCATCAAAACCCATAAAAATGATAAATGATTGATTTTAATTCAAAGTAAGGTAAGTCCATTCTACAAGTTTAGCAATGAAAAGTGTCAATGGATATAACAGAACTGCATCCAGAGGATAATATATAAATGATTCTACTGAAATTATTTGATTAGGTGGAATAGGAGACATAACTGCTTTAATTTGATTGGGTTGAGTTTAATATTTGCAGTGAATAATATTATAATGCATAACCCATACTTCTTTTTATGCTCCAGAATGGAGATCTTTTTTTCAAACTTTTTAAGGACATTTTTGCATATTAAAGGAAGTAACCTTTAAAATCAAGTTTTGCAAAGTTTTTTTCCCTTTTAAAAGGATATCCTGTGTTAGTTAAAAAAACATATGTTCAGGGTATGACTATCATTTCTTGTTAAAACTTTCTTCTTTTTTTAAAAACATATGTTCAGGGTATGACTATCATCTCTTGTTAAAACTTTCTTCTTTTTTTTTTTTTTTTTTTTTTTTTTTGAAGCCCAAGAGGTAACACCGTTTATTGTCCCCATAATAGGTAAAATAGGGTCGGGGATCCATCCACTATTTTACCTTACAATTTATTATAATGTTACAAAAAACATAAGGGCATTTATATCATACAAAACATTAAAACTTTATTATCTTGTTTCTATTTAGGAAATAGATATCAATTCTGAGTGCATTGTTGTAGAATAATGCACGGTTTGAGTTCAAATGCGTAGTAATAAATCACGAAGGCCAATAGGCCTGAGTGATTAATTACAAAGCATTTGAACGAAAACCGTGCATTATTATACAATAATGCACAAAGAATTAATATCTATTTCCATTCTAACACGTCAAGAAAAAATATAATTATAATGATAAAGATGGACTTTATGTTTGGTGGTTAAATTTGTTTTTGCCTGAGAGTTTCCCTTAGAAACGTTCTTTAAAGGCTGTTCCAGTGGGTTGAAAAAAAACTGTCATTAAATCTACCGTGTGTAGAAACATTTTGAAAATAACGATTTTTGAAAACGTTGGTAAAACTTTGTTTATTTTATTTCACTCTATAATTTTTCAAGCGAAATACAAATTATTAAAAGTGAAATAAATGTAAAGCGACATTAAAAAATAGCGTACTTGATTTGATTGTTTTGCACGTGCTGTTTGGCGCTACATTGTGACATCACGTGAACAACATTTTAAACGTCTGTACAGCGTTAACGACTGAATTAAAGATATTGGTGTTCGGATTCATTTTCTTAGTTAGACCATTTTCTTTCATACTAGATAGCTTTCACAACAAAATTCTACAAAAAATGTGTTTATTTATCAGATTTTTTTTTAAACAAAATGGCGCCCCCGATGTGAAAATACACAGGGAGGTTATAATAACGGCGAGTGCATTGTTGTAGAATAATGCACGCTTCGGGCCTTCTTTGTTTATATAGAAAAAAATCCGATAGTGTTAGAATGCTAGTTAGATTTAAATGAGAACTTATCAAAAATAATGATTTAAAACCAGGAATTCAATTCCTGTTGTGTACTTGCATTTATGTATTTTGTTGAAGTTATTTTAAACAGTTAATCATATTTCTAGGGGTTATTGTGTGTTGTTTCATTGAATCATGAACCTCCATAAACAAGTTTTAGAGTGTATATAATTTATAGGAGTCACCAATTGTTGTTGGCTGATCAGTCTGTCCACCTTTCTTATTCATTACTAATTTTTGTATTATGTAAGATTTATCTTTTAGAAAATCCTGATAAAAGCAAGCTATTTTGATAACAATCTTAGGAAAATAAAAATATTTCTAACCATATAACATGTTGATACCATTCTGTAGGATCAGATAGAATTTGATTTATTGATTTGAAACTGACCAATGGAAGAGATGTAATAAACTGTCCCAAATTTTCATTTGATGACCTGGAACATTTGAAGCATTTTACTTTTAACTTAATACCCTCTTTGCATGAATTTATATGTTTAACTAACAGTAAATAATTTACACTAATTTGAATTCAAAGTTAAATCTGTAATTGTTAAGATGAAGTCACTATTTCTGATGCAAAGTCAACATTATCATTTATTTCAAATTTGACATGACATTAAGGTTTTTATAAAAATTACATTGATGTCAGGAATCAACTTTAATATAATTGAGATTGAAAAAAATTGATTATTTATAAGAAACTACAAGTTAATATTTTTCTAACAATCTTTGAGCAACACATTGATGTCAAGAATTAATTTGAAAATTAATGAATAAATATTTAGATTTAATTTATAAGAAAAGCAAAAGGTAAAAAGTACATAGTGAAATCTTTATTTCTGATGTTTACAAAGCAAAATGATAATGTCAAGATTGATATTGATGTAACTTTGTTACTTTGAGATTTTAAAATGGGAAAAAAAAGATTAGTTTTGAAACTACATGATGAAATCTTTATTTGTGATGTTGGTTTGTTCTATCAGGAACCGTAGATCAAGCAGTAAGCCGAGTAAGTACGAGAAGAAGACGGTTATATTTGGAGACGGCATGGAAGAGGAAGATATCGCCAATCATTTCCTTGGTATTATCAGGAAAAGTCTGAAAGAAGCATTGGAGGGGTTATTGGCTGCTGCTGAGGTTTGTAAAATATCAATTATTTGTTACAGACTTTAATAATCTTAAGTTCAAACTGTGGCCCATATTTATTGCCTTTAATTATAAAATGGACTTTTTGTTCTCATTAATAATTTGGAGAATAATACTAAATTTTTTGTTTAAAAAAAGTCTATGGAAAAAGATTAGAAATAGAGCAGATTAGTCTTGTTGGTTTAAGTGTAAAATATTGCCCCTGTCTTAAAGCTGGACAGACTTATAGGTGGATAAATACAATATATCAGTTCTGATCATTTCACCACATGTGATTATTTTGAAACAAACAGTGTAATGGGTAAAACGGGTAGAATTTTAAGTTCCTAATTTTAGGAAAGAAACATTAAGAAAAATGTTTCAACTTTGAAACGAGAAAACATGGAGTAAAGTTTATATTTTCAGCTTTACTACAGACAGAAAGGTAGTCGTACGGTGACAAGGCCCCAAGCTTTACAGGAGACATTTGAACAGTGCTCGGATGTGGTTGTACAAAAACTTCAGTCCTACTATCAACAATCAGACGAATATCATAACCAATGTCTGCAAGGTATGTAATCATACTAGTAAGGTCTGATGTTAGGTTGTCGATAACTTAGCTTCATCATCTTTCTTTTGTTTTTAAGCCCCCACTTTAATAGTGTGATAAGGTCTGTATATACCTCGATATATATGTCACCTCTTCATTGTCTGATCAATAATTACTACAGAAGGAATAAGCCATGGTTTAAATAACTTGTTAAGAACATTGTTCATGGCCAGAAGATGGTGTCTATGGATTTTGAGGTCAAAGGTCAAAGTCATCTTGGCATTTTTAATTTCATTTTACTGCATGTTTATAAAATCAATTTTTACTATTATACATAACTTGGTAGGGACATTGTCCATAGCCAATAGATTACCTTTATTGATTTTGAGGTCAAAGGTCAAATGATTTTCACAAAAAAAAAAACATAAAAACTATATGATTCAACATTATTTTACAGAGTTGAGACATCAGTTAACACAGCTAGAGAAGTTAGTGGCACATATACCTCAGCTTGTAGTCTCTGATTTCCTCAAGGAACATATTGATCTATCTAAATCTGCTAGAACTGGCTTCGAGGCTCATTTTAAACAGATACAAGAAAATCTTGAACAAAAACAAGTAAGTATAATTAACAATTGAAAGGGACATAAATCCAAGTGGCAGCCTATTATCTCTTACATGCTATTTCTGAAAAAAAAGTGATGAAATAATAAAGTTTATACTGTGATTCAAGAACGTTTATTAGTTATTAAAGTATTTACCTTATTAACTCAACTACATTTGTATAGGACTGTACAAGTATATGTCAGGGGTGTTTAATTTAAAAAAAAAAAATAATAATAATTTTACATATTTAATTTTGAGACTTATAAGTTAGTTTTTTATTTGATAATCTTTCTAAAGTTACAAATAAAGTTTTCTTCTTTGTGTTTATTTATAGAAGGAGCATCAGCACTTACTGCGCCCAGCATTAGGACATCCTCACCAGAAAGACAAACTAGAGTCACTATGTCAATCAGAGCTGAACAGACATCAGGAGTATCTTGATGCTGTAGAAAATCATACCAAAAATCTACAGGTAAAAACTTGACATACTGGGAAAAAAGTGATTAACTCACCAACAGCCGTTTTATATTTTCCATTTATTTCTTCATATGTGACAATAATGCAGTGACATGGCGTTACTGAACAAACATGATACCATTCAATTAATTTGAAAGAAAGAAATATAATATTAACAATTGATGTAAAATACTTTACAGATTGGCTGAAGACTATTTTTTTACCGCCTCCGTGGTGGAGGGGTTAGAGTCGTTGACTTCTAATCCAGTTACCTCTCTGGCGTGGGTTCGATCCCCGGGAGATGCTTTGGTAGTTTAGCACGGAGGAAGGTAGTCTAGTACTGGTGTTACTCTCCAGGAAAGATGGTTAGGAAACTACCCACCTATATGACTGAAATACTTGAAACAAACAAACAAAACAATTTTTTTCACAAAATGCTTGACTGCTGTATTGACATCGAGGGATCTAAGTAAACAAATGTGTTAATGTTACATATTTTCAGGATAATGCTGTTGATAATGCAAGAAAGTTCTTGGATGCTCTAGCCCGGATGTCAGAGAATCAACTGCTTCAATTTGATAATGAACTTGTTGTTGACGACGTAGAAAAAGGACGTAAGTGATGAAAACTTGCAAAAATAAATAATCTTATTACAGAATTTCTTGAGGTTCTGCGATATTTATGCTGTAAAACCTGTAGTGTTTTACACATCATCTTTATGCATTGTACTTGTGTACTTCCGTCAAGCTTAAATAAATGAGCCGCATCATGACAAAACCAACATATTGCATTTGCGACCAGCATGGATTTAGACCAGCCTGAACATCCACACTGTCTGAATAATCCGGGCTGATCAGGACTCATGCTGTTTTCTATCAGTTTCTCTACTTGTTATAGGGTTTGTAAGCGAACAGCATGGATCCTGATCAGACTGTGTGGTTGCGCAGGCTGGCCTGGACCCATGCGGGTCACAAACGTATTCTGTTGTTTTGTCATGGCACAGCTTAAATTATGTTAAAATTAAGAGCTTATCTCTTTAGTCTGCTTACTGGAATTAACCAGTACTGGTGACAAGTACAGTTTATGTAAAGTTGTCATGATCCGAGTAGGTGTCAAACCAACAATCCATGTCTTGAGAGGCAGACATCTAAATCACAAGGTCACTGTGAGAACGGTGACCCCAATTTTTTTTTTCGTTTAAAATGTTTCAGTTATCATATTCTAACAACATGCCAAGTTTAAAGAAATTCTATTGAACAGTTTTAATTTTGCCTATATGTCTATATGAAAACTCCAGAAAACGTCCTTAAATGGAAAATACATGTGTTTGAAAATAATAAGGTAAAAATATACAATTGAGTTTTCTTACGTTTTGTTTGTAGTTTATTTAAAGTGCTTGTTATAAAATTCTTCAATTAACATATGGATGTGATGTTTTAGGTATCGATGCAACCAAATACCCAACAACTGAGCTGATACGTAGAAAGAATGCTGGAGAACCGCTCGAGGACAGCGAAGATAAAGATGCTCTTCCTCGTGGCAAAAACACCTGGACAGGTATGATTTATGTTACCATAAAATGTTGATAGTTTGGTTAAAATAACTCTTTCACACCTCAAATGAGCATTTTTTTCTCTGATAAAGAACTGTTCTATTTTTGTTTTCTCAGCATTTATGTCAATTACAAGTATAATTATATTCATGGCACATTTTTTAAAGTCTATGTAGGTCAATTTCACAATTCTATAGCTCAATACTATACTTGATTTGTTGAAAGAGGAATTGCTGTTCAAAAAATCAAAGATTCCATTTGGGCTTAGACTATATTATTTTCAATCTATTTTATCTTAATATTTTTAACAAAACAAAAAATTTAAATCAAAAAATTGTTTCAGGTCTAGCAAACAGTGAGACTGGTTGTTGGTCTAACCAGACAAGCCACAATTACCAGCGTCTGTTACCACAGCTAAAACTGCACTAGGTCATAATGCCACGATCAAGGCCCAGGGATGAAGCCTACCATGTAACTATTTTTTGTTCTTTTTTTTGTTTTATAGTCAATTAAGAAGGCAGTTCACATTACATCCATT